TCCCCCCCCATTATATATATGTATATATACATATATACATATATATAATGCACATGTGTAAATATGTATAATGTACCTCCCTTCACCTCAACCCTCATTACCCCCTCGTCCCTGTTCCCCTCATCCCCACCCCGACCCCCACACGGCCCTCCTCTAAATAACACCTGGCCGCGTGGAACCCAGATCCCGATCTACGACTTCCGTACCTCCCGCCGCGTTGGCTACCGGTCTCAGCCCGTTCCGGAGGCCCGTGTGGTGCTGGTGGAGGGTATTTATGCACTCAGCGAGCGGCTCCGTCCGCTGATGGACCTCCGCGTCTCCATCACCGGCGGAGTGCATTTCGACTTGGTGAAACGAGTGATGCGGGACATTCAGAGGTCGGGACAAGGGCCGGAGGAGATCATCCAGCAGGTGGGGAGGGAGGTCTGTCTGTCCGTCCGTGTGTGTTTCAATGAACTGAGGCGCGCGAGGAGAACTGAATGTGGGGAGTAGGCCGGGGGGGGGGGGAAGCGGGGAGAAATTCATCAAGGGCAAATGATAGCAGGTTTAGGGGTTGGTTGGAGAAGTGGTGAAGAGGGGACGAAGGAGAAGAAGGGAAGAGAGAGAGAAGGTAGGAAGGCGGGAAACAGCGAAGAGGGGACGAACAGCGACCGAACCGGAATGTGCCTCTGGAGGAAGGGATGGTGGCAGTTTGTGTTTTGCAGTACTTCTCTCGTATCACGTACATCTCAGACCCTAATCATTCCCCCACTACCCCGCTTTTCCTCCTCCTTCCTCCCCTTCCTCCTCCTTCCTCCCCTTCCAAACACCCCTCTCACACGGTTACACAGATTACCGACACGGTATACCCCATGTATAAGGCCTTTATCGAGCCCGACCTTCAGACTGCCCACCTGCGGGTGGTCAACTCGTTCAACCCATTTTCCGGTTTCATGAACGCGACATACATCCTGAAGTCAAAGAGGGTGCCCACGTTGGAGACCGTCACCCGGGTGCTGGAGGTGAGGGCTGGAGAGGAGGAGGGCGGCCGGGGAGGCTGTAGGGTTTAAAAGAATACGGCACTGTTCAGGGGCGGGGGTGTCGGAGATTGAGGCGCCCACGCACACATACGTACATGTATACAAACATAAGATCACATAGAATATTATAATAAATAGATATATTGTGCTATATATAGGCAGATAAACAGACAAACGCCTCGACGTTTTAAACATTTCACTCCGCGGGCACCTCTGCCCCGTACACCTTGTGTCCGTACGGTACTGCAGTCGTACGGCCAGGTGAGCCAGCGTCGCGAGGTGGACATTTACGACATCTATCTGTTGCCGCCCAACGAGGATCCGGAGACATGTCAGAGCTGGTTGCGGATGAGAAACAGGGACGGGCGCTACAGCCTGATGTTTGAGGAGTGGGTTTCGGAGGGCCCCTTTATCATCTCGCCACGGATCTCCTTCGAGGTACGGCTGGCTGGGTTGGGGGTGAGGATTGGGGGGTTCTGGTACACAAGGCAGGTCAAGGCCATGTGGGTCAGGTTTTTCCTCTTCCACTCCTTCCTCCCTCGGAAATCTGTGTCATTGTCCTGTTCCAACCTGAACCCCTTTCTGCTGCTTTGCATTCAGCCGGAGTAGGTAGCGGAATAGATGAAGGAATTATGGGCGAATGAATGAACGAATGATCGTTTACAATGATGGTTTACAGTTGCAATCCGACCGGATTACAGACTGGTGTTTGGGCCGCCACTCCGGCGTCCCCCCAAATAACCCAAACAGTGCAGCATGGGCCAGGAGTTGAAGAAAGCCATTTTTACACTTGTACGGGCGGTACTGCTAACTGCATCTGCAGGTGGGCGTGCGCATCCTCGGAGGCCTTATGGCCCTGGGTTACGAAATCGGCACCATCATGAAACGAACATCCACCATCCTGGCTGTCGGGCCGGCGCCAGCCTCAGCGCCAGGCTCGGCGACTGCCGCCGCCGCCGCTGCTGCCGCCACTGAAAACGGTGGCGAAAGCGGAGGCGGAGGCTCCGCCGCCGCTGGCGCCATCGCGGCGGCGGCTCCGGCGCTGCCTTCGCCCTCGGCCGCTACCGCTGCGGCGGCGGAGGAGCTCCTCGTCAAGCTGGACGACGTGGGCGGTTTGGGTCGGTTCGTACAAATTCTCGGCAGGGACCGCGAGCGGGTGGCTGCGCTGGGACGAGATCTGGGTTTGGAAGGGACTTACATTCCCCGGTCGTACATTGAGCAGGTGACACGGCGTGTCAGTTGCACGTTGGGAAAAGGGGCGAGAGGGTAACCTCGAATGGGAGGGGTGGGGAGGGGCGGAGGGAACCAAACTATTCCGGAACATAAGGGAGGGGGGAAGGGGGGAGAGGTAGTGGGTGAAGAGCAACGTCGGACCGGTTCCGGATTCCGACGCGTGTGTGTGGAGGGGTGAGGCGGGTGTAGTTGTATATATCCAGGCAGCACATATATAACACACATGGGCAGTTCCAACTGCCGGCATCCACCGCACCGACTGCGCGAGTTGTGGGTTGGGTGGTAGAAGAAGATTTAGCTGCTAAAGGAGAATCGCTGACACCCCCCCCCCCCCAACAACAGCCTGTAGCCACTCGCTGACAACCAAAGGACCGAGCCGCACCACCAGGGCATCAGGACCACCAATGACATCACCAGTAATGTACCTATACCAGGACCCCTGACACTGCTTGCTCTGGTGCAGCAGAAATGGCTGTTTCCGTGCTTAACCCTAACCGTCCCCACCCTTCACCCCCTTTTTCCCGCCCTATTGCCCCCCGCTTCTCTCCCCCTTGCGACAGGTCCAACTGGAGCGGTTGACAGCGGAGTTCCAAACGGTGACTGAGGACTGGAAGAAGAAATTCAGCACACGCAGGTGCGGTTGTATGATGTTGTTACAGGGTGGTATAGCTTCACCAGAGGCCCCCTTTCCCGAGGCAGTTCCCTGCTCTCCCCTGCGAGAGGGGCACCCTAATCCATATTCACCCCATCCGATTTCAGAATGTATTCGTTGGGTTCAGCAACTCACCACCAGCATCCAACCAAATATAGCGGATGAACGGCGCCACAACTTAGATCCTGGTCAGCTCGCAAGTTGATATAATCACGTCCTACACCGTCCATAAGATGGGGGGCCACCTCCCATTTCAACACCTCTCACACGCCCGAGGGGTCGGCAGGCGGATTTGAACCCGGAGCCTCCGGAGCAGAAGTCGGGCCTTAACTTCTGCCAGCCACCTGCCTGTGGTTGTATGTATGTATGTACGTACGTATACCTTCCCCTGTATTACCCGCCTTCTTTCCCCTCCTCCCGCCCGCTCTTGTTGCTGGCCTCTTGCCCCTCTTTCCCACCTTCCCTCCCACCTTTCCCTCCCCATTTCCCTTTCCTCTTCCTCTTCAGCGGCGAGGTGGTGATGCCGGACAGCGTGTCGGGTTTGACGAGCCCCCGCGTCTCCAACGTGGGGAACTCTCTGGGGTTCAGGTAAGGAGGCACACCCCGCCCGCCCCACCTCACACCAACACAGCCATTTGCTAACCCCACCTTTATCGTTGCGGCTTTGGACGTCGGCAATTGATTCAGTTGCTTTCCGTTGGCTTATGGCTCTACTCTCGCCGGGCTCACCTCCTTGAGCCCTGCCGTGTGCTAAGTATGCCATGCCCATCCCGAGTGATGCATCGAGGCGTGCAGGTTCGTTCATTGCTAGTAGGTTTACGTGTCGTCCGACGAGCCTCTTTAGGCACCGCCCCGGCGTCCCGTTACACTTCAGCGCCTCTGTCCCTGTTCCCGCCTTTTCAATACACACATCTCCCCTTTCCCCACTCGTAGTCGGTCCATTGCCTACCAAGGCGGCCAGGTCACTCCTGCACTGTCCACGTCAGCGCCCGTGTCAAACCCGTTACTCATACCCGCACCGCAAAGTGAGTGTGGGGGGGTGGTTGGGATGGTTGGGGGAAGGGAGTGGGATGGTGGGTGGGATTGAGGTGGTGGGGTTAAAGATTTGAGGGAGTGCGGGGAGCGAAGCTTTTTATGGGAGGAAGAGAGAGGAACGGGTTAGGAGGCGTAGACAGCTCGTGCCGTGTGTGGGGGGGGGGGAGAAGAAGGGGGAGGGGGGAAAAGAGGGCTCGGTGTTCGCGTCGTACCTTGTTCGTTTGTATTGACAACCTGCTTTTGTCTCCAGTCCCTAACTATTGCGGGGGCCCGTCCTCTTTCCTCCCCCTCTTTCCCTTTTTGTTCCCCCAGGTGCCAACAGCCGTCCGGGAAGTCGTGTGGGCAGTGTGCAGCCTCCCAATGGGGGCCTGCTGTCGCAACATCTGGCAGCCGCAGCGGCGGCAGGGGGCGCTACGCCACACAACCACAACCACAATGGTGGGTGGCATGTGTTGGTGTTTGGTGGGTGTGTTGGAGGGGTTGGGGTTGGGGGGAATGAATGAGAACGTGGGGTGGAGGGAGCTTTGGGATTGCGGAGAGAGTTCTGCGGTATGGCCCCGTGCTAGGGGTTGCATGGTGTGCTTTTGCGTTTGTACCCTATGTGGGTGGGGGGATGTAGGGAAGAGGGCGGGGAAATGAGGGTGGGGAAAACGAGAGCGGGGCAAAGTCAGTATGCCCCGCCGTGTGCTATTGCTGCACAGAGCTTGTGATGGCCCGGGGTGTTACCTCGTGACCCCCTGCTCCTGTGCTTATATACTTTCCCCTTGTACATCCAAATATCCGCTCATGTGGTGCGAACCCCTCTTCCCTCCCCGCCGCCGCCATGCCACCGCCATGCTACAGGTCTGGGCGCCCTCAACATCCCGCCGGCCAGCTCCCCAAGTCCGGACAACAACCGCTCCGTTAAGATCCTGGCCGAGCTGCAGGAGCGGCTGGAGGAGATGGGGGGCAGCAGTACGGAGCAAATCAGCACCCTGCAGGTGGGCGCCCTTGGGTATGGGTAATATGGGTAAATATGGGTTTCTTGGGCGCGGGGAAGAGGTGTGGGTGCTGCATGACGGGGAGGGGGTGGGGAAGGGGGCCATGATGACCTTGGGGGTTGAGAGGGGGTGTAGCGGGTGGGTGGGTGGGTGGGTGGTAGAGAGGATGGATGGCACAAGCGAACTCAGGGGGTCGGGGAGGGGGTGTGAGGTGCGAGTGGAGGCAAGTGAACACTCCCCTCGTGTCTTGGGCACCACATCACCCAGGAATACACACCAGCACCACCGTGTTGTCAAGTTGCCCCGATGCATGTGACTTCCCCTCCTGTAACCCCCTCTTCACCTCCCCCGTTATGACGACCTGGGAATGAATGTCTCTTCCACTGACCACCCTGCCCGCCTGCCCCACCCTGTACACCCTGCCCACAATACCCCACAGCAGACCGCAGTACAATAGAACAGAACACAACACTCCCTCGTTTTTCTACTTCCCATCTTCGTATTGCATTGACTATCAGCGCATGACACTGAGATTTTGACGTTGTCGTGCCTGCCTGACCACCTGACCCGCCTGTCGTATGGGCTTCAATATGTACTGCGGTGCATGTACGACAACATCTCCGTAGACCCAACTGGACGCCATGGTGGAGCAGGTGCGCTGAGGAGCGGGATGCTTGGCTGGGCCCTGTTCTTGCATGTTTTTCTGCCTATTATGGCTTTTTCGTGTTATGCATGTATGCGTGTATGCACGTATGTATGCATGCATGCATGTGTTTTGAGGGGCCCTGGAGGGTACGTGAGGAGATCTGCGGGTTGGGTCACCATGATTATCTCTTTAAACCTGTGGGTCCAGTCTTGACTGGGGCCAGCTGGAGTTCCTTTCCATCAACTTCATCCTCCGACTCGCTCTCATATATTGTCCTTGTCTCGTCATTCTGAACCTCTTGAGTACTCTTCCTATTTCGTCGCCCTATACTCCCTTCTCATTGTCGTACTGCCCAACCCTTTCCCCCTCCTCCCCACCATACACACCCTTTTCTTTCACCGTACATATACAGCACCGGGAAACCAACAGTCAATTAGCGCAACTCGCCGCAGCCACCTCTCAGCTGGCGGCGAATCTGCAAGCCACCCTGGCAGCGGCAGCGGCGGCTGGGGCACCTTCTTCCTCCTCCTCAGCAGCAGCAGGAGCAGCTGCCACCGCTGCAGCTGCAGGCTCGCAGCGGCCCTCCACCTCTGTCGTCGGCGTTGGTGGTGCTGGTCCGCAGTCGTTGTTGGATTTGCTGATGACGACGACTGCTGGTTCCACCCTTGCGGCGGGTTTGACGCTGGGCGTGGCAGTAGCGGTGGGGGTTGCCATTGGCCGGGCAGTAAGTGGAAAGCGCTGAGCAAGCGGAGGTCGTGGAGGTCGAGGAGGGAAGTTGGGGGATAACAGAGGGACACCAAGTTACAAGTTCTCCGCACACACACGTGCGGGGGTTTCCGTAAGAGCCTGAGGGGGAGGTGGCGCTATGGACGGTAGATCGGTATTAATAATGCGGGCACCTTTTGGAGGACGGGTAAGAGGAGAGCGTTCTCTCCTTATTCCTCAACGTTCTCATTTTGTTTCCTCTTTTTTCCCTGACCGGCGTCGTGTTCCTTTACCAGCCCTCCTCTCCATTGCTCAGCGGTGCACTGGAGCGGAATGGCTGCATGGAATGGGAGGAACGGGGGGAGCAGGAGTGTGTGAGTTGGGCAATGGATTTGGGTGGGGTGCGGGCTGGGCCGAGCTTTCGGGGGCCGGCCGGCGCCTTTGGTGATGAAGATGGTGAAAGAGAATCCTGGCGGGAGACAAAGACGGACGAGGGCGCTTATGGGGATGCGAACAGTGGGGACTAATTGGGAGAACCGTCCGCGCGTGTGTATTTAAATTAGAGGGATGTGACGGATGCAGCGAACGCGAAATAACTGTGCAGGATGTATATCTTGAGAGATACTGTTCAACATATTAAGAGTATGTAAGAGAGGGGATGGTAGGAAGGAGGTGGGAAAGGGAGAGAGAGAGGGAGAGAGAGCGGGCGAGCAGGAGGGAGAGAGATGGGGAGCACATCCGGGTCCAGGGGACGGCCGCTTCTTTCTTCTGATGGGCTGTGCATTTTCGAGAGACGTTTTGAGAGAGGGACGGATCCGCAGGCGTTCATGAGGAGGAAGGAAGGGGGATAAGGGAGGGACAGGGCAGGGTGGGGGGAATGTCTTCCCCCCTCTCCTCCTGACAGCCCCCTTACCCTCACTCTTCTTCCCACCCGCTCCAGCTTCGTGACACACCACCCCAACCAGCATCCCCGACCCCAAAAGCATATGCCCTTTGCACATGCGCCCATCATTTCGACGAAACCCAGTTGCAGCATTAGGAGCGCTAGCAGCAGCAATGCCACCAAGAGCATCCTTCAGATACAGCAAATGTGTTGGGTAGTCCTGTCTGTACAGAGTGCGGTAGTTTGGTTGTCCTTCACATGCAATTGCAAACGCGAGCCAGGTCTGAAGATTTGGATCTCGGTTTGTTGCTGGTTGTTCGCTGAAGAGAGGGAGTGCCTTGGATTTACATGGGACAGGCTGTCTGGCCCGCAAGGGGGGCTCTACTACTTCCCCTCCTCTTCCTCCTGACCTCCTCCTGCTCCCCAAGGTACTTCCAACTTCGTTGCCTGCCTGCCCTAAGGCACTGGCTCTGAGGGCAGACCTTCAAACACTCTGGCGCCGCTGCTGCTGCTGCTGCTGCTGCTGGCCACAGCCCCCTGCTTGACTTCTGGTTCTCGTCTTTTTCCTCTCTTCTGCCGAGGTGTGGTTCACGCCTTCCGGCTCTTGCATTGACGCAGGATTTTGGCCAAAAACTGAGCAACACATGCATGTCCAGTGCGTTTCGTCGAGGCCGCTCGGGGACCTCGAGTTTCATCGTAGCTGCGTGCATAATTAAAAATAGCGTGTGCGTGTGAAAGTTCAGTCTAATAGCGACATCGTGGCATAGTTAGGAGAGAGTGTGTTGAGACGATACACTACGGCAATTGAGCGGTGTGGAAGACGAGCGATGTCTTGTCTCACAGGATGTGCGTCATGGTGAGACCCGATGTGGATTGGGGCTCATTGTGGGCCTTACGTATGTGGGGGTCACGCTGCGTCAGAGTTGTCAAGGAAAGCGACAAGGAGAGGGAAAACTGCAAGAAGCTGATGGGTATGCGCTGCGAGAGATGTGTGGTCTTGGATCCTCTAGAATCCTAAGGCAATGAGGAAAGACGTGCGGGGCAGAGAGGAAAGACGTGCGATAGCTGCGGTGTGTAGTGCCTTTGGCTCTCTCTCTCTCTCTCTGCCTTTTGGTTCAGGTGAAGATAGACGTGGGAGTAACCGCCCTAGGAGGGGGTGCCCGTACCCTTCTCACCCGACTCAGCCGCGATGAGGGCTCTCGCGCATTCAGTTGCGTGCTGCCCGCCTGCCTGCTTGCCTGCCTGCCTGAATGGCCTGGAGAAGTCATCGCAGCTCTGCACTGGCTGAGCTACGTGCCTTTTGCGGCAGAGTTCGTTTCGTGTGTGTCTTGTGGTCTCATTTGATATGCTCTGTGGTGCCGCCTGGAGAACAGGACATATCGGCTCAGCGTCAAGGCCGGGTTAGAGGGTCCCTTCCCTGCTGCTCCACCCCCAACAACATAACCACGACAATCATTACCGCCCGGACCGCCGTCCGGCGGCGGCTACCACTGTATTGCATTCCTAGTGACAGACCGAAACAATCGCGCTCAACCAGAAGGGGTATTGGGCTCTCCTTCGAAGGCTATGTATGTTTTGCACGAAGACGTTACCTAGTGCACATGTCGGAGGTGGGGAACTCTCATAACGGTCGGTACGGCACACCAAATCAGCTCCCTCTCGGGGCCCTTCGGAGCCGAGTCCAGGGGGGTTGACTTTGAGGGTTCGGGGGGCTCACAGAGCGCCCATGAGCCCACTTTAAAGAGAATGGTGTTAGCGGATTAAATCATCATGTAGGTTTTTCTTGCCATTGGGTGCTCAGGTCCTTACACGTACGAGTGTACAGAGCATGCCGCCTCGTGTCGAATCGCTTTATACCGCCTGTAAGGCGCCACCATGACTAATACAGCTAGCATTCCTAGCACGCCCCAAAGCTGTCGATACATCCCATTAATTGATATGTATTTGGGTTTGCGTTCGCCTTTCACGTTTTGCTGTCCTTTGATGTGTGATGATGTATCTGTCCATTTGCACGAGTGAGAAAACTGTTTGCTTTGTGTACGACATGTCCCAGACTCGACTCTTAACTAACAATTGGTCATGTAGGTGTATGTGCATGTGCATGTGTGTGCGCATTGTGCGTAGTGAACTTGTTGCCGAAGCACCAAGTAGAGGCCGTTCTGCCCTTCTTCGGGTTGCTGGTTCGGAAGAGGTTGTACAGGGACAGGGATGAGGGGATTGCTGGCGGACTGACACCTGTGGACAAATTAATGCCCCGTGGCTGCCGCCTTAACCCGCCAAAAAGACCACCATAACCGCGACCACGTCACTATCACTACTGCGGGCGCAACTCGTTCGTTTATTCGTCCCTCTGATTTGCCAACTGGCTGTGCTATTAAATCCTTCAGAAGTATCCTGCCCGATTCCCCCCTGCCTTCGTGAGGGGGTGCTCTCATCCTGATGGGGAGGGATGCAGAAATAGAGAGGTTTTTTCTCGAGTGATATCACCATTTTACGGTGTTTTGTTTCTTTTGTCACATCCGCTAAGACGTTACGACAGCCTACTTACCACAACTTCACCACTTCCATTCGTAACACATACACAAGGCATTGATGCGCGTTGTAGCATTGTTAATTAGATAATGTAGCACATATTTCCTTCCTACCTTTCTGCCTTAGCAACAGGCGGTAACCAGAGAGGCCACAGCGGCTAGTAGCTCTTGGCTTCCTCCCCCGGGGGCCCCCGGGCCCTGGGAAGGATTTGGCCTTCCCCGTTGTCGTACTTACTTAGCTCGTTACCCTGTCGTACTGGCTATCGTGCATAACTCAATTCATCTGTTATGCTCTAGTTCAGGCATGCAGCGCTGGTTGGCAAAGTAGGGCGAAGTGGTTGGGGACGAATCAAGCGCTGATCCCGACAGAAAAACAACGCGCGGACAAATGGGTCGCGAGATCGAGAGGCGGTGTAGCTGTTATGTTGTTAGCGTCTCACGTTCAGATATTGCGAGAGGAGAGAGGGCGTTGTGCGCATGTGTGCCTGTGTGCCTGTGTGTGTGTGTGTGTGTGTGTGTGTGCCTGTGTGTGTGTGTGTGTGTGTGTGTGTGCCTGTGTTCCCCACACACATGTACCCTGGCGGTGTGAGTCTCAGTTGCTGTCCTTTTCTTTTGCCTGCTCCTGCCGCCATTCCCCTCCTTTTGATCCTGTTACACCGCATCCACCGCATCGCCGGTATCGTGTCATCTTATGACGCTCTTGTAAAATATGTCTGTGTTGTATACCTTTTGGGGTCGTGTTTCCCTCCCGAAGATATAATGGGCCCATACCTGGAGAGCCCTGAGGGGGCCCAAGGCTGTCCGATTTTTGCAGACCTCATAAAGCGGACAAGAACTATTATCGTATCACAAAACATAACTGCAAAATGCCTGAGGCCAGGTGGTGACAGCCTTCCTAGTGGGCTTTATCATCAGAGTCGACTTCTTCCGTGTCTGAAGACATGAAGTGCGTGCGTGCATGTGTGCCGGAACTCGCAGCTGATATGGGTACCTCTTTTAGATTTACGGGAATGGCAATCACCACCCTGTGGGGTTGAGCTGTACATTCCCAATGGGCGCAATGCCAACTCCGCAGGTAACATGGGAGGCCCTGCTTGATCCACCGGAGGACCGCAGGTCAGTTTTTTGTCAGGACAAGCCACCCCGATGCAGCAGGTCAGGACAAGCCACCCCGATGCAGCAGGCAACACCAGTCTCATTCCAACCAGTAGAGATTCTTACCCACCACCCAAGCTGCCACCCAAGCCCTACCCCAAGGCCCATGGGTCATGATGCCTGTGTCTGCATTGGAAAAGGGAACATGACCAGCGGCTGAACTCGCGATGCGCTTGGAGGTGGATGAGCTACTGCGGGAGCGGCTTGTCAATGCTTTGGTCCGCTTCGTTGCCCCTTCCAGTGGTTGCTGCCCATCAGCACTTTGTCACGCTTTTTTCAAACACTGGTATTCAATACCGGTGTTTCCAGACAGGCACACACGGTGACATTAACCTTATCCCCCATTTCCTTTTTGGAGCGCTGAAAATGGACAGATAAGACGGACCGGTAGGTGAACAGACAGACAGACAGATTCGTATGGAGTCGTGCATTATCTTGCATTCCAAAGCAGATGCATGTGGGTAAAACGCGCGGCTTGTTCGATAGGGCTATCCACCTAGGGCCTTCCGAGGTTCCCCAGAGTTGGCCCCGTCATGCTTTTCTCCCGAACGACGGCCCCATTCCGTTAACATGGCGGGTCGTTGGTACTATTCCGCGCACAGTACTAGTACGAGTTCGCTGGAACGAAGAATAGACACACACACACATACATACATACATTGGATGCCGGTGGTGGGTGCGGAACCTAAGCGATCCACCGAAAAGTTGACTAGGGTGACTAGATGAGGGTGCCCCGAAATACCGGGGAAGGCAGGGTTTCGCAGGGTAGCTGCCACGGGTGAAGATATAATCCCCTGTTCCACACATCATACATATGTATATGTATGTATGTGAGTATACATATATAACATTAGAAAGATAAAGCCGATAAACAAGGCTCACCGCGCACCCCATCATCCACACCTATACAGCCTCTCACGCGCAACGTAAAGCTTCCGGCCACTTCAATCTGGTGCATGGACTGCTATTGCACTGCTATTATGCCGTACCGCGACGTGTGCGCAGGAGCGCGACATCACCCGTTTACCATTTTAAAGTCACCGTACGGCGAAAACACTCCACATATTGAAGGCCATCACAGCCGATTCCTCTACATTACGACACATCTTCAGTACGACACAGCATATTTTATCCTTGGAAAAATGCCAGCCCTGATCTTTTACCCCAGATAGCCACATCACAATTGAAAACAATAAGGCAAGAACCCAAGCTCTCGCGGGCCCCCTTGTACAGGCGCTGTACAAACGTACGCGAAGAATAGCTTGAAGGCTCAGTAAATAACTTTTCAGGAAAGGTGCTATAAAAAGCCATATTCGTGACAACGACAAGCGCGGCCCCACCAGAACATGGCCAGCAATAAATACGCTGAGTGAGATCGCAATTCCGCAGGGGTACGCACATGCACACGCGCACGCGCACGCACACGGGGCTCTACACCCTCACCCACTTCGACCCCAGCAGGGGCACTACGGCAATACCTGATTGCACTACTCCCTTGCTTTGCCCGTTTTGCAGCGAAAACGGGCCATGTTGTGGCTCACCCCTCAATCACTCGCCAGGCCACTGGCGCGACATGACAGACAGACAGACAGACAGATAGATAGATAAGAGATGACGAAACACGGTGGTGGGCCCCCGCGCGGGACCGCTGTCGGTTCTGAATACGCACCAGAGAGCTGCGTGTCTCGCGGCCGGCAGAAGAAAAGCCACCAATATGTGGCCATAGCCATCGCCTCCACAGTTACCCGCCACGGCCTTCCCCGGCCGTAGCATCCGTCTCCAATACCGCCGCCGCCGCCGCCGCCGCCGCCACCCCACCTGACGTGGATAGAGCGGCGGCGGAGGACGACGCGGCCTCATTCACCACCACGGCCAGGAAAGGAGGCCCCGCTACAGCCGCGACCGTCACCTGCGGCACAGACTGATCCCCAGTCAGCTGCTGCAGTGGCAGCGGCGGCGGCGGCGGCGCCACCGTTCCCCCAACTGCCGGTCTGCCAGTACCGCTGCGACCCGACACACTACCCCCTCCTCCACCCGCCTCCGATGCAGCTGCCCCCCAGCTTTCCAAACTCCCCCCACCGGCCGCCGCCGCTAAAGGCCGCAAATTGATACTCCCCAAACTCCCCCCACCGGCCACTGCTGCCAAGGATTGGCCCACATCAGCGCCACCTCCAGCAGCACCGCCCGCCGGCCCCCCAGCCCTGATCGCCATGTCCCTCTGGCTAGGTGAGGGCGACAAGTGAAGCGGGGAGAGGGTCTGGGGCGCCTGGTGGCTGCCCGCTCCCAGGCCCATGAGGCTGGAACCGCCTCCTCCACTTCCCGCGTGCTGCTGCTGTTGCTGCTTGGCGGCCAGGCCGGCACGGAAGGAACCGGCAGCTGCTGCTGCTCCACCACCACCTGCAGTTGCCGCTGCTGTTCCGGCTCCTTCGGATGTTCCGCCGCCGTTATTGTTGTTGATGATGGCTGAAGATGACGATGATGTGGTGGTAATGAGGGAGAGGTCGGTTGCCTCGCGGAGCGCGTCTGGGTGGATGAGCAGCTGTTGAGTGGGGAGGGGTGCGAGGGAGAGGAGGACGGGCAACTGGGTTGAAGAGAGGATCGGGAAAGCAAGGGCGGGGGGGGGGGAAAAGGGGAAAAGGGGAGGGTGGAGCGGCCCCTCCCAAGCACACACATACACGGGAACGCATTCATGTCATGTGGTTTGGCGCCTCCCTCGTATATGTGCGTATGTATGTGCGTATGATGTGTGGGACAGGAGGGCATATCTTCACCCGTGGCCGCTACCCTGCGAAACCCTGCCTTCCCCGGTATTTCGGGGGACCCTCATCTAGTCACCCTAGTCAACTTCTCAGTGGATCGCTCAGGTTCCGCATCCACCACCAGCATCCAACGAAATCTGCCGGATCGACGGCGGCCCAACTCCATTCCTGGTCGGCTCGCAGGTTAACTTTATCCCAGGTCACCACCGTCCATCGACTAGGGGCACTTTACCCTCGACCATCGGAAGGATTTTCGACCTTGACAGGTCTCGATCCCGGGATCTCCCGGGGGCACATGCATGTGCATATCTCTTGTGGACAGCAGCTCGATTCTGTGTCATGGCTTATACAAGTTACAAGTTACAAGTTACAAGTTACAAGTTACAAGTTACAAGTTACAAGTTACAAGTGCCGCACGAGTGCGGGGGGGTCCGTCAAAGCCGGGAGGCCATGGACTATACATATATTGAAAGTTGATTACACATATAGGAGTATTAGTGTGTACGGCGTCATTGGCCGCTCCCAAACTGCCACTTCATCAGCCCGAAGTACGCATGTTCGTACACCCATGTACGAATAGTCAAACAAGCGTCGTACTCACCCTAGATACTCGGCGGTCAAACTCATCGAATCGGTCAACCAACCGCCCGTCGTTGAGGGACCGTACTTTCTCCAGCAGTACCTTGGGCGAGGGCAGGGCGGCCAGGGCGCGGCGGCCCCGGAAGGGGCGCAACCCCTCCCGGAAAGGGGCACTGAGGGAGCGGCGAGGTCCTGCAGTAGTGCGGCAGTAGCAGTAGCAGTAATGGAAGCCGCAACCAGGAGGCGGTTTCAAGGTGGACGATGTGGAGGCGCCATATGCGCAGATCTAGCAATACGGGTACTGATGTACGGGGACTCCACCGGGTTCAGAGGAGTTCAGAGGGGCGCAGGTGGTGAGGTGAGGTGAGGGGGGCCCCGACCTCCCTCTGACGGCTGCTGGGGGACCACAGCCCCCGACACGGAAATGAGGACACACGCAACCCCTCCCATCCCTCCCATCCCTCCCATCCCTCCCATCCCTCCCATCCCTCCCATCCCTCCCATCCCCCCCCACCGCCACCGCCACCAGCACTCCCCAGCCCGGCAGTGAATTCCTTTGTCTGCATGTGCATGTGCATGTACATTTGTGCACGCATCGTTTCTACTCCCCAGCCCCATCCATAATCAAGTGCATGAATACAGACATACAAGTACAGACTTACAAGTACACACACACACACACACACACAGGAACGGTAAACCCACTTACCAGGTCCGGCGCCTCCCACCCTCGCTGGCCTGGCAGCGCCTCCCGAAGCGGACTTCTCCTCCTCCTCCTCCACCCAGAGATCTGGATCGAGGAGCCGGTCCTCCTCCTCCTCCTCCTCCTCCTCCTCCGCTCGCCCCTGTCCCGTCCCCTCCCCTCCCTTCCCTTTCCCCACCGCGGGACCCTCACCCCCACCTCCACCCCCACCACCCCCAACCCCCGGACGGGGACGACTGTCCTTCCCAACAGTGCCCTCCTTTTCAGCGCCCACCCCACTGGTGGTGGTCGCAGTGTTGTTGTTGTTGTTGGTGGTGGTGGTGGTCGCAGTGGTGGTGGCGGTGGTGGTGTCCGGCCCGCGGCAGTCCGCCGACCCGAACCCGTGCATGTGCGCCAGGGAGTCCTGGAGCCGCAGAATGAGGGCGGGGGTGTCCTCTGCGCGCAGCCCCAGGCGCCGCAGCAAGTAGGCGCACGTACCCCCGTTGAACAGCACGGTGATGAAGACGAGGTAGAAGGTGCACGTCTTCATGACCTGCGTGCACGCGTGTGTGTGCGAGGGCGTGTGCGTGTGTGTTTTGATAGCAGGGTTGTAAAAAGGGTTGTGGAGGGGTGGGGCATGCAGGTGGGAATGCCGTGGACAGGCACGCCAGGACGCGTCCAGGACAAGTAACCGTTTCCCCCTTCCCGGCGTTTTTATTCAACAACCTTGTGTCGTACCTTGCCGTACTGTCCAAACCGCTCGTCCGCCTCCACTGACAACGCGAAGGCCATGGCCCCGCGCAAACCGCTCCACCACAACATGAACTGCTGCGCGGGTGAGATATGTCGCTCGATGGGACGGAGCCAGTTGACTAATGCCGTACAGGGCAGGATGTTGGCGGCTCGAGACACGGCCAGGGCGATCAAGCTGAGGGCCTGGGCGGGTCGGCGGGCGTTGGGGGGTGTTGGGGGGGCCTTAGGGTTTTTTGTTGTTGCGATTTCCTCGGTTGTTCTTTTCCCCATCTCCTCCGGCCCCCCTTCCGAGCTCAGAGCTCAAGAGTTCACCTCACCCCATAATCCGTATGGCGCCCCACACAACACAACACAACACAATTTCCAGACCACTGTCCTCTTCACACACACACACACACCTCCTACCGACCCCCCCCCAGCTCAGCTCCTCCCACCGTGTATCCCAGGATATTGAATTCCTCGTCCTGCAGGAACATGGTAGTGCCGATGTAACAAAACACAAATAGCTCAAACAGCCCCGCAAGAGTCTTGAACAGCGTCTGGAGGGGCAGGATGTTGAAAACATGGGGTGGGGCTTGGTTTGAGGGGGCCGGGACGAGGCGGGAAGAAAGGAGACTTTCAAACGTTTCACGTCCCTTTAATACAAATCAAGTGATATTGTTAAATGATTATATGTATATGTATATGTGTGTGTGTATATATATGTACGGGAGAGAACTTAGGGGGTATTTCCGTTGGGGCTGGGCAGCAGCCCCTGTGGCCAGTGTCAGGCCCGGTCAGATACCTGTGACATTCACACACACACACACACACACACACACACACACACACACACACACACACACACACACACCAAAACACAAACCCGCACCCTCACGACGTGCACGCCGCCGGGGAAACTGCGGAGGCAACGTCCAAAGTTGGCTGGCATCAGGGCGCGTACACATACACGTACGCACAAGACCCATATTTGCCGTCCATGTCGATTCAGCAATATCTCTTCTTCCCCCGCTCGACCCATAAGTAGATATGTACGAACAAGCTCCTCTTTCCCGTCGTACACATGTTCAATCAGTGTCCGCCCCCCACCTGCTACTGCTGATATGGACAACTCTAACCCTGTCTGTCATTCGACCGTGCCGGGTCACGTGACCGGTACGACAAAACACACGCAGACATACATACGTGCACAGACGCACACGCATGCCCCTCCCCTTCCCCCCGTGCCTCCTCCCCCGTGCCTCCTCCCCCCACGCCACACACACACACACACATTGACCCACCTCAATCTTATGCTGCGCCGCTTCACTGAGATTTGGTCTGACGTACATGTTCATGACCATACCGTTAACCACAACCGCCACAATGCCGCTGCAACGGGCAGCATCCGCCACCAAGTAACTGCCGTACGCGAACACGACGGCGAGACCAACCTGCCGTACAGATAAGCCACGTGTTTTACATAATGGTTGAATGGGTCGGGGTGGGTATAGGGCGAGGGGTATTTGTTTGCCTGTATGTCTGTATCAGCGCATGAACATACACACAGACACACACACATATATACATACACATATACATATACATACACACACGGACATACAGACATACGTAGCGCACATACATACACATACACAGACGCACTTCGAAGGTGCTGTTCGATCCGGGGGTGTTCACCTCCGCCATACCCGTGGATCCAGAATCCAACCTGCCCTGGATCAACACGGGGCCGGAATAGAAGTACCGTGACCTGCGACCCGCCGGCAGTTTGGTCAGTTAGTTCGTTTAATGGTTGGTTGGCAGTGTCCGTACTTAACAGAACACCGTTCACATTCCGTTGTAACGACCGTGAAGACGTGGGTGGGTACGGAGTTCTCCCCCTTTCCCCCTCCCCCCCAAAGCACCTGAATATCGTGGCTGCCAGGAGTCCGATCAGCAGGCCAATGGCGGTCGAGCCCAGGAAGATACCGACAAACATACCGATACCTGGGGTGGGGGTGGGGGAAAAGACGAACCACGAACGAGTGAAGCTGCTGGCAAGGACAGAGTGTTCAAGAAGCAGAACTGACCAATAAGCGGTTTTGAAGGAACCGACCTCGGGATGATGTAGTGATGACGACCGCGGAAACCTACCTACCTACCTACCTAGCCGCCAAGACTAAAATAAGAGCAGAAGAAAAGCAATAGAGCCAACCCTAAGAAAGAAAGGTTGGTGTAGAGGCGGCGGAAAACTAGTAAGGAACTGATGACGTGAGCTGGAATAAAGTTTGCCTTCGGGGGCGGGGCCCAGCCTACCCCCGCCCACACTCTCCTTCTCAACCCAAAGACAGACATACGGACATACATATACACACAGTCTCTCTACAACTGAACATGGAACTCAGTCCTCTTCCCCCTACTCCTCGGCAGTAGACCTTCCCCATGTCCCGTAGAACATCATTAACCGCAAAATAAATGCCAAGGCAATTTTGAGATTATGGTCCCATTATGGTAAAATTATAGAACAAGCTCGTCTAAAAAGGGGAGATGTACGACTGCTGTTCCAGTAATGTGCGAATGGGTGGTTCAGCAGCTGCTGCTTATCAGGTCGTCAGCCTAACGGCGACGAAGCCACCACTCACAACCGAGTTCAACCCCACCTCCCCCAACCTCACCCCGCACCGCGCGATGCGCTCTAGCAGCAGCAGATTAGGCAGCGAGAGGAGGTGGTAGAGAAACCAAAGCTCAAGGGCGAGACCCAGGCACGGGATCCTTGCCGCCCATATCTCAAAAAGCTACTCGGGAGCCTCATCGCCACAACCCAGTGAACCGCCGGACACCCGCCGGACCCCCCAGGTTAGTGACGAATCCGCAAGGTACGGCAGCAGCAGCAGCAGCAGCAGCAGCAGACCTAACTTCTATAACACATACATATCCTGGAGGTGGGTGCCACACCACGGCATCCACCCCCACCGTCCCCGGACACCTCAGAACGCAGTAGCGCGGGAGGTATTGTTGGTGGCAGTAGCGGCTGCAACAACACGGCTGACCCCCCCCAGCAGTGATGGAAGCAGTTGTTAGCGCTGCCGGTACGAACGGGGGGAAAGACGAACCACGAACGAGTGAAGCTGCTGCCAAGGAAAGAGAACACGAACGGGGGGGGCCGAGCGGCCCCGCTGATAAGAGTGTGTGGCCACGGAGCCCACAGAGGCTCTGGGTTACGGCAGGACGCCGGCAGCAACAGCGGGTCAGCCTTGCATTCCGGCCACCACCTTAGCCTGCCCTGCATGGCGCCTGCAGGCTGCCCTGCCCTGCCCTGCCCCGGCCGGCGCGGTCTGCTTGTTGAAGCTCTTGTCCTTCCCTGCTTGGTCCCACATGTTTGGCACAGAGCACTACTGCTATCTTCATTCCTGCCACGCATGCCCACCCGTTTTGGGGCCGCAGCAGCCATTGTATTGCATTCCGGCTGCATCCACCGGCAGTGTTGTGTCCACCGGGATTTTATACTTTACTTTCTTTATTTGGTGACTCTTCTGTAATCCGACCTCCATGCGGGACAAACCCGTGACCCTGGCAGCCCTCGCGGCTCTGTACGGCAGCTTCAACCCGCAGCCTGGTGAAGACAACTAACAACAATATCCGGAGGAGGAGGAGGAGGAGCAACATCAGCGGCAGCGGGGGGTAACTGAGCCGGCTGCAGAGAAGACGGAAGGGGAGGAGGGAGGCTGCCGTAGTGCCGCCAGCACCACTGCCGCCAAGGACACAAGCGATGGGTATGATTACCGACCGGGCCGATTGGGTGGTGTCTATCCGGGGCGACGTAAGCAGTCCCGGCGGCACACACCTCACGGCTCCCCTGGCGACACAGCTGCAGTGTGGGCCTATTGAGGAGAGGGGAAGACGCCTGGTGGCTGACTTCACGTGGGAGGCGGCAGATCCGCCCTCCGGACTCAGACCTGTTGCAACCGGCCCATCGGAAAATTATTCCCAGGGCGACCCAGGCCCGCTTATGGTCCAGTGTATGACGGAAGAAGCAAGCTCAACAGGTGCAGGCGCCCCAGCGGGCCCCAGTCAGAGGCGGCGGATCGCGGACTTCTCCACGCAGGCCGACGGGACCACGGACCACAGGTGGGGCCCACGCTGAACCGAACGCGCCGGGGGACGAGGACCAAACACAGGCGTGAAACACGGGATAGGGGTGATAGCAGCCGCGGTAGCTGTGGTGGTAGCGGCACCGATAGTAATCCCCCTTGCAGCGAGCCCGCGCCCCGGCCGTGGTGCACTTCCGAGCACACTCGTTCTCCTCCTCCCGGTACTGTGGGACATCCCGCTGGGGAACCGGGATACTGTGAGACCGTTGGACCAACCGATCCTAACGGTTACAGAAGAGGCGCAGCAATGCGGGGAGGCAGTGGACATCACGGCTTGACAGCTGTTCGCGCGGGCTAGGGAGGGCATGCTCATGGGTGGAGGAGGAGTTCGAGGGGGACTACCGAGGGGAATAATATGCAAGGAATCCATGTGTGGGGGGGGAGGGAAGGAGCCTGCGGGGGGGCCTAGAGAGGCCAGGTGGGCTGGAGGACGGCATGAAAACTGGTAGCACCAGTGTTGCTCTGGCTGGCTGGTGCATTGCTCCCTTTCTCTGGTTTGTTGCATCTTCCCTCTGGACCGCCCCCGGGGAGGGGGAGGGGGAGGGGGAGGGGGAGGGGGAGGAGGTCAGTAGTCTTAGGGTAGCTGCGAGGCGGGGTCTTCTTGTGGTTTCTGCGCCTTTCCGTTTTGGAGCCTTTTGTTTGGTTCCTTTGCTGTGACAGGAGACCTGCTCCCCCCCCCCCGGCGGGACACCCCGGCTGTTTTCCTTGGCCTCGCTTTGGATTGGGGGGGGGGGTGGATGGGGGGTGGGGGGGTTTCAGCGAGTCTTTGCCCTAACGACGGAGGCGCTGCTGAACGGGTGCGTCGCGTTTCGGCAGAGTCTGAGTCTGGGTCTGAGTCTGGGTCGGGTGCACGCAGAACTAGCCGCGACTTGTGCTGTGTGCTCCCGTCCCTTGCGCTGTGCCCCCGGGCGTCAGGCCCCGGGTGTCACAGCCCACAGCGTAACCTAAGTCAAACAAACAAACAAACAAACAAACATACGTATTCGCAACACCACGTCCAACCCCCTTTCCCTCGCTCACCCGCAAACACCGACCCCGCGTTGACGTCCTTCCCGTCCAGGAACGACGCGATGACGTTGTACAGCACCATACCCACCGCGTCATTCAGCACGCTCTCCCCGAACACGTTCATGTACAGTTCGGGCTCGGCGTTGAGCCGCTGAAACACGGCAAGAACCGTAACCTGCAGCGGTGGAGGCGGCGGCGGAGGGGAACCACCAAAACTATATTCGGCAACTGCCAGTGAGTATTATAGATGGTTGGGGGACGGAGGGAAGGCATTGGGAGAGAAAAACCCTCCCCTCCCCCCGCCCCCTTCCCCCCCCCCTTCCCCCTCCCCCTTCCCCCTCCCGGCCCGGTGGCTCGTACCGGGTCTGTGGCGCTGATGAGCGCTCCGAATGTCAGGTTGGCCAGTAGCGGCATTGGGTAGCACCAGCCCCACTGACCGAAACCCCACCTGGCGGGGCGGGGACGGGGAGGGGAGGGGAAAGACGAACCACAAACGAGTGAAGCTGTTGCCAGGGCAAGAGTGTACCAGACGTAGAACTGACCAAAAGGCGTCCGTGAAGGGGGGGGGGATCGTATGAGCAAAAGCGGGAAGTGAACTGCCGGTGTCCAATGTCCGAAACTGGCGGGGAAGCAAGGGGGGGAGAGGGGAATGCAGGTATGTCTTTGCGGGGATTAGTGAGGGGGTGGGGGGGGAGGGAGGGCAGGCGAGGAAAACCCTAAATCCCGAACACATGTTCCAATATAGCCAAAGTCAAAGAGCTCAAATGCATATTAAGCACTTACATATACGTGCGCGTGGGCCTGCCTGTCTTTCCCTCACCCTGGCTCCCCCCCCCCCACCTCCTACTCCCACCCCCGGCCCCCATCCCCAAGTCTCGCCTCCGGGCCTCCAGGCGCCCTCCCTGACACGGGTATCAATTTACCGTACTGCTGTACAGACACAACGTAACGAACAACTCATACTGCTGATGACTCACATCATAAGGCCCACCACGAAACAGGAGATTGTCGTACCGACGAAGGCATATAAACTCAAGCTGCCAATGTTCTTGATAAACCTGTGCATCCGCTCCACGCAAAGCATAGACATACATACATACGGACAAACAGACCCCGGGGAGGGGGCACGAAGTGGGGAAACACGTGGGGTGGGGGGTGGGGTGCCACTCATGAGCTTAATAATCCGCATGATCAACATTAACCAGCAGTAGCAGTAGCAACAAAGACAGTAAGCCTAGACAATCAGCCACGCGTCAGCAGCTGCACAATCTGATTTGCAATTTTTATGTCGTACTGCATTGCGTGGCTCTCCCCCGCCGGCTCCCACCCCCCGGGGGCCCTCCCCCTCTACCCCCCGACCGGCCATTTCCACAGCCCCTCCATAGAAAGGTACTGACTGTTCCGTGGTGCCGCAATTCCCCGATACCTCCAGCTGCACGTGTGGCTGAATGTCCCCCCGGGTTAGCTAACCCGCCCTCACGCACATCTCGGGCTGTACGTGTACCTAACAACCGCGGCACGGGGGCCTCAACCAGCCAGCCGGGGGGCGGACTTCGACCCTACTGACGGAAAGCTGGCCGGACGTCGCCATCCAGTTCCTTAACCCCTCCCAGCCCACCCCGCCCCGTCTCTCCTTCTCACCCCCCCCAAAAAAACCCACATTCTGGTGTCCAAGCTGTACCCCGCATCAAACATGATGATGGGTAGCAAGACGTAGAAGAAGATGCCGCCCTGAAGTGGGGAGGTGGGAAGTGTGCGGTGGGGGGAGGTGAGAGGGGGGATGAGGGGTGTGGTGGGTGCGGGGGCAGTGGGGTTTTCCAGGATCAAAGTGTACAGCAAAGCAGACCCGCGATCTAATCCCTGATCCAGAGATCCAAATCCATCCACCCCAATCCAGAGCCCGCATCCCCGACCCGCCCTCCCCTACCCCCGCGACCACCCGCCATCCAAGCCCACCCATTACCTAGCTCAGGTAACCCCCCCACCCACCCCCACCCCACCCCCACACCTTGAAGGCAACCGCCGCCGCCAGCCTAGGCCCCACCCCGGCCGCCTTGAGGATAAGGCCCACGAACAGCCCCAGCAGCAACGCGGCCCCGGCTTCGCCCATCCATTGGAACCGGATCCGCTCCAAAGCCCGCCCAATCACAAACGCCACCGCCAGCACCACCAGCTGCGATCGGGGAATAGGGGAACATTCGAACATGGGGTGTCGTGGTGGGTGAGTGTGTGTGAGCCCCGGGGATGCAGCCGAGTAGCGGAGGCTTGCGTATGTATGTTTATATGTATGTATATGTGTATGTATGTTGTATGTATGTTGTATGTATGTTGTATGTATGTTGTATGTATGTTGTATGTATGTTGTATGTATGTGCGTATGTATGTTGTATGTATGTATGTGCGTATGTATGTGCGTATGCTTCTGTGTATGCGTGTAATTGTTTGTCAAGGGGAGAGATGTGGGCCAGGCTTAGGCTAGGCGAGGAAAGCAGGGCTTGGGCTAGGGAAGAGACAACGATAGCTAAAAAGACACAGCGATGCGGCAAACTCTACGTGCAAATACAAAGCATGGCTGGCGGCTGTGGCCTGACCTCGCCGGGGAGAGCAACGATGAGCGAGAGGTATCAAGGGGTTAGATCAAGCATATACCTGCCGGCCATACAGCCACACCGAAAGCCAATTCTAGCGATAGCGATGGCGACAAGCTACTTGCCTGAATAGTAATTGCCACTGAAGTTGGAGCGGAGGCGTCCTCTGTGGAACATGAAAGGCATAGATACAAATCAAAACGAGTGCCTTAACTTCCTGGAGCCCCTTTCAAGCCAGCCTTGCCTTGCGGCTCCGGGCCATCGCTGGCCATCGCGCTCCGGGCACCTTCTAAACTATTGAATCTTCCACGAATCAGATTTTACAGGGTTTATTGATACGTTGGGATATCAATCTGAATGCGCCTTGCATACACCTGAAGGCGCTACCAGGCAGGCGTCACAGTCTGATGTCGTTAAGATGAAAAGTAATTTATCCTAATATTACATGTCATATTATTATCACATACAGAAATTTGAAGTGAACATCTAACGTGGAAGGATCTGACATCGGAATTCTTGTCAGACAGCCAGGCCAGGAACGTTCCTCACGAGCCAACTCAATCGCCTGGATTGGCTGTCGCGAAGCCGAAAATGGTATTTAATGCAAAAGCTAGGCTAGGCCTGGATTCTGCACCTGCGACGGCTGGGCGTTCGACGGTTTGTCGTTAGCTACAACCGAATTCACAAGCGATTTTCGGACACCGTTTTCGGACATTTATCTGTTATTTCAGGACCCGCAACCTACAGGCGTATTTTGTCTGCGGGTTCTACGGGGCGACCTGCAGGACCCGCAGCTCCTGATGACCTCTGTTCACAAGCATCGAGCTATCGCCCATCGAACAACAATGGCCAGAGAGTTCCTTGCCTAGACCTACCCATATGACCTTGCGCGAATACTATAAATTTACCTCCTAACTTAAGCAAGCAGAGTCTTACAGCCTTATCCGACAAGCAAGCGCGCACACACATGGCAAGCACGCAAGCATCTACCGATGTGTCACGAGACCATCTTCCAGCAGTTTTATGCCGACCGCGCACCACTGAAGATATGGGCGCGCATGAACGTGCTGCGAGCCGACGAAGTAGGGACCACAATAACCTGGGCCGAAAGCCAGGGAATGTATGCTTAAGCTAGTTATGCACAATTAAAGCGCTTAATAAGTTTGTGACATGTAACAGGGGGTTCTGGGGGACCTCGTTGGAACGGTTTCATTTACTTGGGGTGGTCAAAGAAGGCCTTCGTGCACGGATTCGCTGTGTGCGTGTACTTAGCAAGGGCATTAGCCGGCAAATCCTTGGGGACAGGTCTGTGTGTCTGTGTGTCTGTGTGTCTATGTGTCTGTGTGTCTGTGTGTCTGTGTGTCTGTGTGTCTGTGTGTCTGTGTGTCTGTGTGTCTGTGTGTCTGTGTGTCTGTGTGTCTGTGTGTCTGTGTGTCTGTATGTCTGTGTGTCTGTGTGTCTGTGTGTCTGTGTGTCTGTGTGTCTGTGTGTCTGTGTGTCTGTGTGTCTGTGTGTCTGTGTGTCTGTGTGTCTGTGTGTCTGTGTGTCTGTGTGTCTGTGTGTCTGTGTGTCTGTGTGTCTGTGTGTCTGTGTGTCTGTGTGTCTGTGTGTCTGTGTGTCTGTGTGTCTGTGTGTCTGTGTGTCTGTGTGTCTGTGAATGTGTGCGTATATGTGCGCAAACGAGCACCTGAACGTATCCCCGCTGTTCTTCAGGGGGGAACCTATGGGGCCGCACCTATTGGTCCGCGAGAAGTATGAAGATGGAGAGAGTACAGTAATCATGGTGATAGGAGTGTAGAGTTTTACAGGGCCGAAACCGAATGAAAATTCTCAATGTAAGTCCTCGGTCAACATTCCGTCTGTCTATTGGGGTGTGATCCGCTGCTGAGCATGCCATTTGTGCGGTAGCAAGGCATGGTCATGTGGGTCGGACATACAAGGCGAAGGTGTTGCGGCCAACAAAGAAGCGTCCCACAGACTTCGACGGTTGGTTTGAAAGCCGTACGAGTTCGGTCATGCTGCTGCCAGGAGGAGGTCTTGATGTAAAACTGTAGTTGTAATTAGGCAGCACGGATTGCGATAACATGGATTAGACATTTTCTACTACCCTTGCAGACATCGTCGGCCAAGGGGTCTCCATGCTTCACAGGCCGAAGTTCTGGTATGGGTTTCCCTACCATAGGACTGTATTACACCTCAATTACTAAAATGGCCAACAGCGGTGGCGTTTGGAAGCAGGCGAGCATTTGTTAGTAGTCCCGCGTGCTATATGCACTTCCATTTTACCATAAGGTTGTCCCAGATTGAAATACTTTTGCCATGAACGGTTATAAAACTGCGGAGCAACTTCTTAGGCAGCAGAACTCGACGAAGGCTCATGAAGCACAGCTGCTGGACGCACGGAAGCAAAGGAAGGAGACGGATGGACAACTCCAGGTGCGGGTAATTATAACGAATGTCCGAACATACTCCACCGCATCAGGCCTTGCGAACACTTGTAGTCATGCGTTCATTTTTCCTCGGACTCTCGAATTACACGTGCTGCAGGCGATGATGAATCGGATTGCTTTCCTCGCGCAAGAGGAACTGCGGCTGGACCGGGATATCGAAGCAGCACGGCGAAAGGCAGCAGAGGCACTTGCTCGGCAAGCAACCCGGGACCATGACATTGCCGCAACCGCCCGTGATGTTCTCGCAGTCATGCCTGCAGCAACTACCCCAAGGCTCGTAAGACCGCACACAGGTAATGGAAACACAAATGCAATGCGCGCAAGCGCCCTCCGTCTTAGACTGGGCAGCACGCACGCGCGTCTCAATCTGAAGCTCCCCCTCTCCAGACTCTCTCCCCCTCTCTCCATTTTAAACTTCAGGTCGCTCCAGCCTTTTTGCCTCCCTTTCCGAAGGCGCCGCTGCAGCCTCCACCTCAGCCCTAGCCTCCACCTCCCCCAGTCCCCGCACGCCCATGACGTCACAGCGCTCGAGCAAAAGCCTAAACAGCGATGTCGGCGGCGCTGGTGGTGTTAGTGCGCCTAGCGCGCCTCCCCCAGGCGCGTTGGGCCATCCCCCAAGGGCGCCCAGTGCATCACGAGCCCGGCCACCAGCGGTGCTAGCGGGTCGGGGTTCAGATAAAGCGAATAAGCTGCCTCCAGGTGCGGGCCGGCGTGCGGTTGGGGGCCCCGATGATCGGCTGGCTGGGTCCGGGGCTCCCTTGGTTTCCGGATGTGTGGGGATTAGGGGTTTAGGGGCAGGTGGATGGGGTTTTTGGGTACATGCCAAACTTGTGGGTACGGGTATAAAACTTTGTGATGGATCCAGGTCCAGACCTGGATCTGGATTTGGATGGAACTGGGCGGGTGCTGGTGGGTCATGGTTTTTTGTCCCGGCCTGCTTCGTCCCTTTCCCCCCACATCCCACCGCGCCGCCATATTCGGGGTGTTTTCGCTTTTCCCCACATCCACCCCACACCTACCCCTACCTCCTCCCAACTCCCTTCCTCCCCTACGGTCCTCGCAACCTTTGCAGCCCCTATCCCGCGACCGTCCCCTCACTCGTGCCTACGCTCCCCCGCATCTGGTGGTTTCATGTTTCCCTTCGGTCCCTGCCTTCCTGCATCTGTATCTTGCCGCAGTGGCGCCACCTTCCGCAACCGCCACTGGAGCTTCCACAATCCGCTCAGCTTCACCCGGAGCACCACGACCCACCAGCGCGTCCCGCCTTGGTACTGCCAGCCGCTCCCTCTCCTCCTCCCCCCCCTCCTCGATCTCCCCAACAAACTCTGCGTCTGAAGCTGACGGCGCCGCCGCAGCTGCTGCCGTCGCGACCACCTCTGCCCGCCGGCATTCTGCGGACGTACCCTCCATCGCGGCTGCAGCGGCAACGGCGACGCTCCCGCATTCGCGTTCAGCATCAGGCAAAAGCTCCTCTCGCCCCGCTGTGGCGGCGACGGCGACGGCGGAGGAGGATGGTCGCGTGCTTTTATCTGGAGCCTCAACAGGGCCCTTGGCCGCCTCGTTACTATCATTATCATCGTCATCATCATCTGGGCCGAATCATATCGCGGGACTGCAACAGCTCTCTGGCACTCAACAATACAGCACGGATTCAGACCTGGCACAGGGCTTGGGTGGAAGCGGTGGCGCGGCAGCGGGCCGCAGCGGCGCCATGACCCTCATCCACGGCGGCAGCGAGCTGGCCGCGGCGGAGCTGCCGACGGCCTTGAGCAGCGGGGGCAGCGGCGGGGCGGCATACTCGGGCAGGAACACGATGACGGTGATCCACGGCGCTGCGCAGGCGGCGGGCGAGCTGGATGGGGAGGTGATTGAGGAGCTGCAACGAGGCGGCCGCAGCGGTGGTGGTGGCACCGGAGGAAATGGAGGAGAAGGCCCATCGGGGCTTCAGGAGTTTGCGACAGAGAGCGGGAGAAAGGTCGTGGTGGTCAAGGCTAGTCGCAAGCCAGAGGGTGCGTCATGCTCTCGCGCTCTCTTATGTTGAGGAACGGAGCCCCGATGGGTTAGCGAAAGCGAGAAGACAAGCAGCGATACGATATATGTGGCGATGCATGATGTGCGATGATACGATGAATATATGCCGAGGGAGCGATTCTGCGTACCTGCTGCTTACGCCGCGCTGCCTGGCAATTCGGACAGTCTAGAATCCATCCATCCATTACAACGGGCGATGAAACGATGCTGCGTTACAAGGAATAGTGAATCCTCCTCTCCTCCCTCGCTAGCTTCGTTTATGAATCGCTTTTTTTTAACCACGCTCCGCTTGCAGGCACAGCCGCAGCCACGGCGGTCTCCGCGGCCGGGGTGGGCTGGGGCATGGGCGGCCGCAGCGCCGGTGGCGCTGCCCCCATTGCGCCCCTGGAAGCCCGGCAGCTGCAGGCGGAGATGGCGAAGAAGCAGCAGATCTGGAAGGTTCGCAAGACGTTTGGACTTGAGCCCACGCCGCTGTCAGATCGCTCAGCGCAGGTGGAGGAGCTTGGAGCTGGCGCTTGGCAGTAGCAAAGGGTAGGCGCGAAAGCGGAAAGAAGCAGTAGCAGTAGGGGCCATTCGGACAGCCTTTTCGCCGTGACAGCAGCAGCAGCAGTGATGGCAGTAGCGCAGGGGCAGATAAAGTAGCGGTAAAATGGTTTTTTAATGAAACCCTAAGTAGTTGCGTGTATTGCGGCGGGTTAATGCACCAGGTTCCGTGGGTAGCCATGGCGGTCCTGGTAGCGGTGATGTGCCGCCCATAGCGCTGGTGAAATGGAAAGACAACCGCCTACCTCGACATGTGTTTCACAGCGGGGTTCGAAGCTATTCTTTGCATGGGTAAGGATGTGCAGTGTTGCTAGAATTATTGAGTGAGGAGATGTGTGCTTGGCCGTGATGCAGTAGGTGGGTGGGGGAGTGGGGGCCCCACTCCTGTAACCCAGTAGTGGGCGAGTGTGGTGGGCAAGCTGACGAGGTGGCGTGATGGGGACGCTGCGCATGGAAATGCTGATCAAGGAGGTGTGCGGATGATCGTCCTCAGGTCTTCTAGGCAGTCGCTGTGCTCCTTTTGGAACCGTTAGTGGCAACATGGCTGGTGGCTGTGCGTATTTGAGTGTGGTGGGGTCGCGAAAGATACATGTGAAAACACGCATGTGGAAGTGTGCGTGGGAAATGCAGGTTGGCGGGACCAACCACACGTGCACGTGTGATTTCATGTGACACTACTTAAGAAAGGTGTTCCTATTTGGTGTGTGCCCAAGTGACGACGGTGCATGTAGGCCCGCGTTGGACCTATCGCTGGGCCTTCGGACTCGAGGACAGAGGCTGGGCTGATGGACGAGGTGCAGGATGCAGAAAGACAGCGCTCAATGCGTAGCGTCACGCAGATAGCTGCGCCATTTTTATGCATTACATTATCATCGGTATCATTGGCATTCTCATGGCAAGTCAGCAGGTATTGTAAGGACTGACCCCAGGAATTCAAGAGCATGGGGTGGACATCGTATGCTGTTGCAGGTATAGCGCTGACTGCAAAGCAGCTGCTGCTCCCCGTCCCATTGACACTGTACGAGCCGTGCCAGACTGCACTCACAATGCAAGGTCATGCATCACGTACACATGTAAGCATGGTCTGCTGAGGATTTGGGAGTTGGTGAGGAATATGCATGGTCAGGTGTTCATGACGAATATTTCAGCATGGCCTGGAAATGCTCTGCAATGACGGGGCCCGTGTACGAAATTTAGGCAAAAGATGGCACATTTACTGATGTTAGCAACAAAAGGCGGCTTGTCGCATGCATGACGCACACGAAACATCTTCCGACGGTTGGAAGCACTCGAGTTGTAGTGCGCACGCTGGAAGTTGGTCTCTGATATATATGCCTAGCGACTGAGGTCTGCTTTGAAAGTCATACATGCACGTCAGCCTTAGTAGAGCATTTTCAAATGGGTGGGCCAAATTGGATAGAGTCGGCGGTGACGGCGGCGGCAAAAGATGCCCGAATGAAGCAAGTTTCTGGGCCACATGAAACGGGTAAACCATCTCAACCAACGATCCGTAGGGTTTCAGTCGCATCGCCATCTTCCGGATCCAGATCCAAGGAAGCACGCGCCAAGTGTCACGAGCGCTGCAATCACACCGCACATCAACGCATGACGCAGCATGCAGCACGTGCTACTTGCAAGAATCTTCATCAGCGGCGGGAATCCGACAGATGTATCAGCTCTATTCCTCCGGTGTATGAATGAGATGCGGCGGCTGCACATATGCACGCTCGCTCGGCACGCATTTTTTGCATTTTTAACAACGCGCAGCCCTACTCGCCACACCCGGACGGCGCTGCTAATGCTGCCCCTGTAACCTCCCTGGCGGAAGAGCATACAGAAATCATCCGCGACAAACCCAATCTACAGCAAATGCGCTACGTCCAACGGCTGAGAGTAGCTCTTAATTCGGCTTCGGTTATGCCCCATAGGCACAGATGCAACATGCGGAAATATCCAGGACACAGCAACTGATGCGACAACTGATAGCCTTTTTACTTGCCGCGCGAATTCCGTTCCAGCTGACGCATGAGCTATTCGTTCAGCTGTAATTTGTACAGTATATGGCTCTGCGACAAACGAACTTCCGCAGTCACTCGAACGTTTGCCTATCCGCACAGAAAATGCACGATACCCGCAAAGATACGCCATAATCGTGACGAATCGAGTCAGAGCAAGTGTGCTCCCTGTCTATTATCCGTCCTCAAGACGCTACGAGACTCAGCAGTAAGATAATCAACTCCTAAAAGCGAGAGAGACCCATTCGTAACCCTGGCTCTGCAGGCCGCACCGTGGATTGCACGCGGCATGCGGACAGGATAGAAAGAGGAGCTAAGTTTGCTACCTGGCGCTAAGTTGCACTGGCGCAAAACGCGCATACGCACGCACACTCAAAAGACACGCAGCGATTCAGCCCAACAACCCACAGGTAAATGCGTTGGAAATGACATCTAACGAGCCTTTCTCATCTGCGTGCCGCAGCATAAAGAAAACATCCGAGGAAAATGATTGAAAGTTCTGGTTTCAGAACCGCAGCTGCTACAAACCAAGGCCGACCACCTGCTGCCAACCAAGATTGCAGACCGCATCGCACAACCCTTGCCTAAATGGTGACCCGTCGGATGGCTAGCTACGTCAACGCCACCCGGCGGAGGCTTTCTTCCAGTTAAATCGGTTCCGTAGACCCGATGCCCCAACGCGTTGAGGGCGTTTAGGTATAGCAGATGGACTGACTGGTCAAGAAACGATTCCAAACTCGACGACATGACGCATGCAGACAACAATGACACAGACGTAGACTTTAAGAAGTAAAAGCAACACCCACTACAACAACCAGCAGGCAGGAGCGTGCCCTATGCCTTTCTATCTTCTTTCGGCAACCGCACTGCCACCACCGGCAAACCCACATCGCAAAGGCTCTTGTTACACTGCAGGCCGGAATGTGCGTCCGGAACTACAAAGACCACTCCACACTAACAACGGCAACGAAAGTACATTGGACTTGGTGATAGTAACACGCGATGTAATAACCCAAAAGCCCCTGGAAGAAATACACCATACGCCACGCCAAGCATTTCCAAACTCAGCAGTCCACTTCCTCAACAGCACGAGACAGGAATGGCCGACGGTGTGTCCGCTGCCGCTGCCGCCTGCTTGCCCTTCGTCGCGTACACAAGCTCCCGACAACACGACGTCAATGTACGGCTAATACGCTGTACGACTGCGTCCGACATCAGCGAGAGTGGTTGCGCCAACTGGCCCTGCCCGCCGCTGCCACCCTGGCTGCTAGAACTGCCGCTGCAGCCACCACCGCTGCCGCCAGCAGATTGTGCGTCCGCCAACGCCTCCTTGATGATAGCCAGCAGTCGGTCGCTGAGGGCCTGAGGATCAAGCCCCGCCAGGGATGAAGACCGTAGCTGTTGCCGCTGCGCCTCCATCGTCTGCTGCGCCTCAGTCAGCTGTCGCTCCTGTGCCGCGCACTTCTCCTGCTGTACCTTTAGAGCCACGCAGGTCTGCCGTAGCTGCTGCTGCATCTGCAGCAGTGCTGCGTCCTTGACACCAATCTGCTCGCCTAGCTGCTGTGTGGTGGCGCGGAGATCGGCGTTTTCGGCCTCCAGGAAAGAGAGCCGGTCCAGTTGACTTTGGAGAGTCCCGACTGTGGATTGCAGCGCCTGGACCTTCTCTTTCTTTCGTTGCCTGTGCGTGCGAAGTTGTAACAAACAAGAAAGGGTGCAACGAGTAAGAAATACGGGAAAACGATTAGACGCACTAGCTATTCCTCGACACCGTCATCCAAATGATTGCACCATCGCGGTGTGGGTGCCAAGTTGCACAAAAGCTTGAGCTTTCCAGTTTAGACAGGAGGGAGTAAAAGGAAGCGTCCGTGTCGGACATCGCACGCGCCAGAACAGCAAAAAGCTGCTCACCGATATCGCTGCTGCGCTAGACGATTCAGAACTTGTTGGCGTTCGGTGCGTGTCCGCCGTCGTCGCTTTGGGCCACTCTGGCCCGCGCGACCTGCCTCCTCGTCATCGTCTTGCGAAAGGATATCTGCTGCGCTTGTAGTGGGCAGCTCCCCAGCCCTAAAAGGAAAAGGGTGCCGCGTATAAGAATATGACACCGGCGAATGACGCGGCACTTGACAAGCCAAACACCTGTCGTTCTGAAGGACAACGCGTAGTCCTGCAATTTAATACTCACTTAACGTCTTGCTGTTCTGTAAAAGAATGCGGCATCTCAAGCCTGCTTGCAATGGCCTCCAGCTCGCCTACGACGTCAAACCACCCCAAGACGTAAGGGAGTTGCCCTGACCTAACGCCTTCAGCAAATGAAAGGTTGATGCAAAGTCAACAGGTACCTACCCAAAAATGGCTGCTCCAAGCCAGCGCCTACAAAGCCAGCACCTTCAAGATAGCCGGCCAAGTCTGCCCCCAGAGAACCCAGCGGGTCGCCAAGGCCAAGATCCTCCATTCCGTTATAGAAACTATTTAGGACGTTCTTCGCAACGGGAGCTCCGACACAGCTGACAAGAAGAACTAAACGGTAAACCCTTTTTCACACGAAAGCCAATGCAATCTCGCCAGGTTAAGAGGAGCTGCTATATCGAATTTGTGGAGATACCAGTTGCCCGGGCAATATCTTTGGGACTTCGAAAATGAAGAACAAAGCTTACGTTATGCACTTCCCAGCCGTACTACGTCCATGGAGGTTTCGAGATGGAGGAGGTGCATAATTTTTTCAATCGCATCCATGCTGGAAAGGGATGTTTGGATGATATCCTGGGTGCTAAATGGGCAGGCAGATGCTTACAACTTGTCGAAAATTGATCGGGCAGCCCTTGTCAGGTCTTGAGTCCTTGACATCTTGCACTTTTACGCATTTCATTACGAGCTGACCAAACTATATATTATAAGGATAAAACGCTTGGCTACTGTTTGTGCTGGAGATGGCGTGGCTACCGAGTTTTCGTCGCCTGCGCCGGCGATTAACCCGGGAGCTGACGGAAATGCGTCTATTCTTCATCGATCTGGTGCTCTTTGCAATCAAATTTGTCAAGGAGAACTTGTACGAACTCACCCTGCCCTTCACGAAACGTTACTTGAGCAGGCAAGTTTGTATATATCGATAACAGCCGCTTGGTTAAGCCACCCGGAGGCGCCGGAGAAAGCTCATCCCCAAATGTGGTCAACGGATGCGCTACTTGCACGGGCGCTGGGAGATCAAGAGGCCCAGGGTTCACGTTCCATACCTGCAGTGTGCTGCCTTTACATAATCCGTACTCCCCTGCAATGCTTTTCCAACCCCACCAAATCCATTTTTGCCCCATGATTGCCTGATTATGGTGTATAGTGTTTCATGTGTAGCCTAGTACCTCAGGGGTATCAAAGGCCCGACCAGCGAAGCAAAAGCGATGATAAGGTCCCAAGGCACGGGCACCGCTTCCATTAGCCGCCCTTTCGCCCAACCGCCCTTTCGCCCGTCATATCACATAGAAACAACACAGCAAACCAACAACAACAGCAACACAGTGTTCTGTTCTTCAGGGGAGCAAACCTTCGTCCAAAGTCCCTGGCGTAAAGCATATTCCTTGTTGTGCACCTTGGGGGGAGTGTTGTGCGAGCTTTCGAAGTGAACTTCAAGATCAGGTCAAGAAAGAGGCAGCGGGCCCAAGCACAGCGGGCCCCTCGTGTGGATACCTTACAGGCAATGCATGATACCATGTGTGTGTATTGTATTAGCAACATTAAGAAACCTGAGCTGCTGCTTTTCCCGCTTCTGCTGGTGGTGGTGGTGGTGCTGCTGCTGGTGGTGTTGGTGTTGGCGGTCTACCCCTCAGGCGGCCCAAGCCCCCCCGGGTAGCAGTGAAGGACGTGAGGTGTAAGCGGGTGAGGGGGGGTGAGGGAAGGGGTGAGGGAAAGGGAGGGAGAGAGGGAGGCAGAAAATGGGTTGGACATTTGGGTCGCGGTGGGGAGGGGTGTGGTGGCGCCAAGTGAGTGAAAACGCATATACACGCATACACATGCTTGTATGCACGTGCACCGGACTCAAAACCGTGCAGGACATGGAAGGAAGTTAAGGAATCGGATTGCCGAGGTCTAACTCAACGAGGAGGGGGGGGGTGAAAACAGGAAACGGTGTTTCCTAGAAATGGAGGGTAATGGTGGTCCCCTGGGGGGTCATACCCCGGGTGTCCGGGCACTTGTGAGGTCGGGGGGCGCCGCGTGGTGCGGGGCAGGGTTGCTGTGGAGAGTGATGTTATTGGAGAGCTCTCCACGGTGTATAGTTTAAGGAGTCCGCACGGACGTACGACACCTCGATGCTTACCGTCGTTGCCATCGTCGTGCCGTCGTCGCTGTAGCGCCGTTTGTGCGCATCACACCCACGCACGGCCCTTCTTCCTTCCGCACATCCGCCTGTTCTGTGACCTGACCTGTATCCCCTCCGCCTCCGCCTCGGCCGTACACACAGATCCGGCTGCAAATAGATTCGTCGTACGCGTCGCCTTTTAACGTGGAGGAGTTCGAGGTGGAGTGGCGACCGGAGGCAGAACCCCCCCTGGAGTGGACCAGCGTGGGGTGAGTGTTCGGGCGCTGGTGGGGGGGTGAGGGCCTATGAGTGTATGTGTATATGTGTTTGTATATATGTCCTATATGGTTATGCTCCAGGGCCTTGTTTCCATTTGCACACTTTTGGATGGTCACTTCCAGGATTGAACACCATACAGCACACCATCCACCATTACCACACTGTACTACTACGCCATACGAACTGGAAGTCCAAGGCGGTTGATCCTGCCTTCTAGGATCACTCCTCATCCATTAACCCGAACATCCGCAGAGACAGAGGGTTCAGCAATCGCCACCAATCCAGCGTGCGAATCTCGGTCCATTTACTGTGACCACAACTCCACATCTCAGCAGCTAGTCATAGTCTCACGCTCCCGACAATGTCGGGGGTCTACCCAGGAATCGAACCCAGGACCTTAAACCGCAAATTGCAGTAATGTCTCCAGACCAGGCCAAGCATGGGTTGTATCACCGCCAAAACGCCTGCGGTACCTGAATATACACCCATTCCCACCCAGTTCCCCCCCGGGCTCTTTCGCCAGTTTGCGGCTTTGGACTGCAGTTGGGCGGCAGTTGGATTCTTTATTCTTTGTTCTTTGCATTACAGGACTCCTCCATTACTTTTGCATATGATTCCCTCTCCAACCAACATCTAGGGGGCCGTCATTCCCATTCCCGCGTGGGTCAACTCTATGTACGGGGCTGCAGTACATTTCCTCAACCCACAAACTACTGGATACCGTCCCCCCCATGAGGGCCTTCATCTCCCCATGTTATTCCCAAACCCGAATCCCTAACCTTGCTTGCTTTGCTGGTGTTTGCGTTTCGAATACTCCTCCCCTTTCCCAGCAGTTGGCGGTGCTTTGTTGGACGTCACTGTTGACCTCCTTTTCGCTTCTTCCATGACATGAGCATTTCCCCAATCCTGTAACACATACACACATACACACATACCCTGGCCAGCGTCATGCCCGGATCGATATGTAACATACACACACGCGCGCGCGCCCCCCCGCAGGAGAAGCGACCTGACGGCTCGCACTGTGGCCCGGCTAAAACCCGACACGCCATACCAGTTCCGAGTCCGGGCCTGGAACCACCGGGGCTGTAGCGGGTGAGCAGCACCAGCAGGATGACGGGGGCAGGGGCAGGGGGGTTCTGGGAGAAAGGGGGGTCCAACAAATGGACGAAGGTGGGGTGGGGCGGGGTGGGGTGATTGGGGATTCTGTTTTCCTAGTAGTAGTAATAAGTCATTGGAACGTGTAATGTTCCACTCTTTTTGGTCGGGGTTGGGATTTGGGTTTCATAGGGTGTTGTTAGTGTTACTGATGTCGTTACTGTTGTTAGTTTCCGCCCACGGGTCCCTCTAGTCATGGCGACTAGGTAGGTAGTTCTCCGCTATCGTCGTGACTACATCATCGCGAGGACGGCTTCTTCGCAACTGCCGACTGGTTAGTTATGCCTTCTTTTACTTCTGGCGCATCAGTCTTTTCTTTGTTGGCAGCACCTTCAGCCGCTGGTGGTTCGTCTTTGCCCCTTAAGGCTTTACGGACGCCGCCGCACTGCATTTGTGCGGAACTTGTAACTTGTTCCTGTTCCTGTTGTTGTTACCGTTCAGGTGGACGGCCCCGGTCTCCAGTAGGACAAAGTTGGACCCCACAGTAGCCGACGGCGGGGGGTACGGCCCTGGCGGCCCGGACAAGTCGTACAGCTGGTCGCAGACGGCGTCGGAGGTGTGCGTGCATATCAAGGTGTGTGTTTGTGTTGGGGGGGTGTAGGTGTTTTGGAGCGGTTAGGTTGCGGTGGGCGGGTAAGGTGGGGGGTAAGGGGCGGCGGGCCCCGTACCTTTTGGTGTTGGGATGGAGAGTTCATGATGCAATGTGACCGTTATGGTCAGGAAAGCCTGCGTTGTTTTTGTTCAGTACACAGTGAAATATTCACATGTACTCATATATGTAGTATACCCCTCTTGCTACACAAGGTGAGCGGACTAAAAGTTATCTGGAAACCTATTTTCTTTGGGTAACCTAAGTCGCATGTATGTATGGATATATGGACGCGTGTATGTCCATGTACTGGGTGTATGTATGCGCGCGTGTGTCTAATAACAATGGTTGTTAGGTTGTTTTACTTTTTGTTATTAAAATCCTGTTAGATGCGCTAGGAGCTGCTATATACTTAGCTCTCTAGCATGCGTTGATGAATTTAAAGGCTTTCCTGAACCCATAAATAGCGTTTATCCTAATACGAGTGTACAACTCTGCATAGTGTATAGTGTATATGGTAAGGAATTCTGTAAAATACCTCTCCCCTGGTTCAGTGGAAAGGGGTGGGTTCGTTTGCGGTGCGCCCCCTTTCTTAAAGCAACGTCCCTTCCCTCTCCACCCTTCCCCACTTCCCGCCTTTCAGTTGCCACTGGGTTCGACCAAGAAGGACGTGAGTTTGGTTCTAAAGTCCGACTCTATAATGGTCATCTTCCGGGGGGAGGTACGGCTTGAGGGGGAGCTGTTCGGCACCGTACGGGGCCTTGGCAATGGCTCCACGTGGTATGTCGAGAGAGAGCGGGATCACATGGTGAGTGGAGGGAGCGACGAATGAAGATGATGGGTTCTGTGTGTTTATAGTGGGCTTGGATTAGGGAATTCATATTTCTACATTTTGTACGAGTGAGGGATCTGTTGAATTCTCTAGGAGTGTGACGAGGGGGCTAACGGTGTGACCTTTCCTCCCCAATACATATGCAAGGACGTGAGTTAAGGATTCGGGGAGGGATAGAAAAGTATAGCAGGGGAATTTATGGAAAGAGGGTCGAACCCGGCTTTGTGTTTGCGTACTCTGGGTTTTCGCCAATTCTCGCCACGGCGTGTAGGTGGCGGGGAGCTGTGTGTTCCTTTGGCTGATAATCTAGCACATTTGTTACGAGGGCAGGCTCCTCGTCCATGGGAAGTCTGCTAGGCAGTTGGGCGGTTGGGAGCAACCTCTGCCCTGGTTTCCCGTTCGGCTTCAGTAACTTCGAGCTGCGACTCCCTTGTCCTTGACCCAAGGTGCTGGTCGTGTCCATGGAGAAACAAGTCAAGTCGTTGGCACCAAAGTTCGACTACTGGCGTTCGCTCGTGCTTGGACATCCAGAAATCGATACTCATCAAATTGTCTCAGATGGGCAGGCCACGCGCATGCTGGATCCTGGGCAACTGGACCCATACCAGCTGCAAAACATGGGTTTGGGGCATTTGAGTGGCGGCGCGCCCCGTTCCATGTAAAGTGTTATACTTGAAGATTCTGGAGTAGTAATTGTATGGGTGTTTTTAAGAGGTTGATCGTTTGCAAGTAATACTGTAAGTTAAGAGGTGGTGAAGGCCCTTGAATAGCTTGATTAGGTGGCGCGATCTGTTACGGCTTCAAATATCTATGTCAGCACAATGTAATCCTGGCGTATTCAGCGTACAACGTGGACCAGGCTTGCCAACGCTCCAGGGTGGCTTTGGGTCGTCGGGAGGAACATAGCCAAACATAACACCACATTCTTCACTTTCCTGCAACCGCAGAAATCATACATCGGGCGCGCTACAGAGCGCATTTACCGGCCGCTGATAGGCCCAGACTCCTGTAAACGTGCGCAATGGCTTTCGCTGTGGCTCGCCCAGGGGCACTGGTAGGTTGTAACCTTAACAATGCAGCTGTAATACAAGATGCTAACAGAGAAATTGCTTGCGGACACTTGCAGCGCCCCTTCAGCGCCCAGTGCGGACCGAGTAAGTGCGGCGATGCGGCCGTTACGTTTAACACTGTACCGGCTGTCCCCCTGACATCAGCGAATTTGCGTTCGCAGGCGTGCGTTTGGCAAAGCCTGGTCTTCTCCGCACACCGGCTATTGCAGCTCGCCCCCGGGTGGGTCTTAACTACCGTGACGCGGCTTTTGTGGCTCACGCTTATCAGCTCAGCCTTGCTCCTACAGGTGCAGACCAATGCGGCGGCTTTGTCAGTTCCAGTAAACCAGTTGACGGATGAGGAACGCGCGCAATTGGCTCGTGAGCTGGGATACAAGTCGATTGGGCGCGAGCTTCCCGACAATGTGACCTTGACGGACATCGTTAAGAGCATGCCGTCGGAGGTAAGCAGTGTTTGCAGTTTGCTGGCTTGATTATTGTTACTTATATAACTGTTGTTTTTAAATGTGTAAGGTCTTCGAGCTGGACCACGGCAAGGCGTGGCGCGCCGTCCTCACCTCGGTCACAGCCATGGCCGCCTGCCTTTACCTCATCAGTATCAGCCCATGGTACCTGCTGCCGTTCGCCTGGGCTCTGGCTGGCACCGCTTTCACCGGGGTGAGCGGGCAGCATATGCCTCGAGATGCTTAACGATTATGCTGGGTAGATGGTCACTGCACGTGGTTTGACAGTTGGGAGCGGGGTTCATTTTAGCTTCAATGACAGCGTTGTGATATGGCATAACTTACTGCTTGGGTGTTTCACGATGTCGTTGACAAACCTTGGTAATGCCCTTGTATGATTGTTATTTGCCTACGCTTTTGACTCGCTCTGCAGTTCTTCGTGATTGGCCACGATTGCGGCCACCGCAGCTTCCACAAGAACAACCTTGTGGAGGACATTGTGGGCCACATTATGTTTGCGCCGCTCATCTACCCGTTTGAGCCGTGGCGGATCAAGCACAACCACCACCACGCTCACACGAACAAGTGGGTTTTCCTATTGCATGCCATGCGTGGGGAGTAAAGGATGGGCTTCATGGAATGGGTGGAGGGGGTATCGGGAGGGAGAGGCAATGGAACTCCAGCTGCGCCGAAAGAGTAAAACGATCTCCCAGAACTCGTCTTGAGCTGGCATTAACTGTGGTCGATCGGACGTCACAAGTTCTCGGAAAGGAATAATAAAGAATTGTAATGCCGGGACAGGGGTATGGAAAGGAATTATGGTGGTTTCAAATGTCAGCAAAGGTGCTGCACGTAGAAATGTCCAGGCACGTATGCGTAGAGTAGGCTTGATGCATGCATAGCGATTATATAAGGCATGCCACGAGCGTGTGCCGTCTTTGCGGTCTGCTATTTTGGCTGCCATAGGGCCGTGATCATGTATGTATGTATGGAAGGCGGACTGGTAGCTTCAATCTTGTCTGTGACTGCAACATAACATCATGTTGTGCAGTCGTCAGCGGATGGCGGTGCGCAAGAGTCCGCAGTGGTGCTGGGGCTGTGGACTTTTGCTGGAGAGGGGAAGGCGGGGCAATGCTAGGAGTGAATGGGGAGAAAGAAGACGAGGAGGAACGCCCCTTTCTTTTCTGTTTATTATTTGCTATCAATCTGCCAAGTAAGGCAGATGTAGATGTGGAGTTTCTTTCCTGCGCCACTCTTCTTCCCGAGCACATCCATCTCTAATCTTGACGTACTTGGCCTATATATGTAAGAGGAGGTTGAGGACATTCCATTTATACTGATATAACCCAGATGGGAAATGGCAGATTTGCAACTCGTCTCTCCCGCCACAACCTGCCATAGCTTCCCCCTTCTACTACATCCCGTATCGCCCGTGTCCCCGTCTCCCTTGTAGGCTGGTTGAGGACACCGCCTGGCACCCGGTCACTGAGGCGGACATGTCCAAGTGGGATCCCACCTCGGCCTTCCTGTACAAGGTATTCCTTGGTACCCCGCTCAAGCTGTGGGCCTCTGTGGGGCACTGGCTGGTGTGGCACTTTGACCTCAACAAGTACACGGAGAAGCAGCGACCGCGCGTCGGTAAGTCGTGGGATCACTGTGCTGGCGCTGTGGTTTGTGATAGGACTGGGCCTTGAACGTTACTTGAGCCGTTGCGTCGTGTGATAGGACTGGGCCTTGAACGTTACTTCAGCCGTTGCGTCGTGCTGAGGTTGTACTGACCTTCGGAAGAGACGTAGTGAGGGGGGGGGTAGGTTTAGGAGCTAGAGTGAGGATGTGATGCATGGAAAGGTACATGATGGATGCTGTTTCTGTTTGGGAGTGCGTCAGGTGAATAGGGGAGCGGTCTTTTGATGATGTGTTGTGGGGCAGCAGCGAGGCAAAGGCAAAGGCGCGCCACCGTCAGGTGGCAAGGGTGAGCCTGTGGTGCACACATGTGCGAATTGTGGTGCTGTGTGCTCATATTTTTGTCGGCTGTGGGTAGGTGCGACCGAGTGCTTGTAACCCAGATGGGCCAAAATGTTTTCGGCGGAGGAGTTGAGTAGGGTAGCCCGAACAGATGTGATCCGATGCACCGTGATGCACCATATCTTCGGGATCTGGCATTCGGTCCACTTGACCACTTGGTCCTCTAGGACCGCTTTCTGCCCCCGAGGGCTGTTTCGTTCGTCCGCTTTTGTGCATTGCAGTTGCACGATTCCCATCCGCTTCCTTTTTAGGAGGTGAAACTCATTTTCATAACGTTGTTGTATCGCAGTTATCTCTCTTGCGGTGGTGTACGGCTTCATGGCCCTAGCCTTCCCGTCGCTGATCTACTACACCGGTGTGTGGGGCCTTGTCAAGTACTGGCTGATGCCCTGGCTCGGCTACCACTTCTGGATGTCGACCTTCACTGTGGTGCACCACACGGCGCCCCACATCCCCTTCAAGAAGGCCGAGGAGTGGAATGCCGCTAAGGCCCAGCTCAGCGGTACTGTGCACTGCGACTTCCCTGAGTGGTGAGTTTGGGGAGTGAGATGTACACGTCTGTCTCCGTGGCTCCGTCTCTGGGAACAGGCCAGGGTGTTTGGTAGGGGGAGATTGGATAAGATTGAGGTTGTGCTGCGACCAGGGTGGAGGATGTATCTAATTATAGGGCGCTTTAACGAACTAGGCGGTTATGCAGCAGCAACGTGCAAATCTCGCCACTCCGCTTTCTGTTCCTCTTGTCATGTAGGGTGGAGTTCCTCACGCATGACATTTCCTGGCACGTGCCGCACCACGTCTCATCCAAGATTCCCTGGTACAACCTGCGCAAGGCCACCGAGTCCCTCCGCCAGAACTGGGGCCAGGTGGGTGAATCAATGCGGCGGATGTACGTGTTTGCACCGGCGCAGTTGTGTGGGGTCAATTTGCGTTTATTAGGTTTTTCCGATGCCCGCTGCCCTAAATCGCCCGCCAGCATTAGCTGTCACACACACTTGCTACACGCTGTTGAAGTCAGTCTTGAGATAGTCTTTTGAGTCAATTTTGAGTTGATGCCGCGCTTAGCTACGTCACACGGCTCAATTGCTTGCATACTGTACCCTTCGCCTGCCCTCACACCCGCAGTACATGACTGAGTGCACCTTCAACTGGCGTGTGGTGAAGAACATCTGCACCGAGTGCCATGTGTACGACGAAGCCGTCAACTACAAGCCATTTGATTACAAGCAGGAGGAGCCTCTCTTCGCAATCCAGCGCAAGGTCCTTCCCGACACGGCCACCTTCTAAACGAGCCGGCAGCTTATGCACCCGGCTGGTGTGCAGCCGTGGCTCCGTAATTACGGCCGGATTGGAGGTTCGGGGTTGTGATGGGGACGGGGTGCGCGGTGCGTGGATGGTCTGTCCTGCCACCCATGTTCCGTGATCGCGTCCTTTCCCATTGCGTCAGTTCCCGTGCGAGGGCAGTGGTCGGTCCCGGGATTCGGCATGTCGGGGGAGGGATTGAATCGGTGGGTGCATCCTGGGTGCGCTTCTTTCCTCGAGCCTGCACGGCGTTGTGGGGAAGCACGCGGGGCCCCTGGCCCTGTCGTCGCCTTGGTCCTCTTGGGAATTCCGCATCCTGCTTTGTTGCTGTCCTGTTGTGGCAGCGATGGACACGGATTGGTTTCTGTTCTGGATTGGGTTGTCACAAGCCGTGGTGAACTTGGAAGAGGGAAAGGAGACTCACCCTAAAATGCTTGTCATAAGAAGAATTTCCATCCTCCTAGTGGTTCTACTGCTTGTTTTGTGGTGTTTGTTTGTCCACTTTCTTTGACGTCGTGATGGGCATCGTTGCATAAACAATTCCTCGTTTATTCGGCTATGTCCATTCGCGATAGTGACAACTAAGATTTCCTTCGTTGTGGCTGGAGGCTCCGACGGTGAGGGTTTCGAAATGTATCGCGGGAGTGTTGAGATGCGCATGCGCGTGGAGAGGACTGTGTGGAGGGATGCTTGGAGAGACGCGAATGCGTGTGCTGGTAGCGGGCTATGTGCGTGTATTCCTACTGTGTGTATGCCTACTGTATGATGCGTGAGAGCATGTAGAAGTGTAGAAACGGGCACGCTTGTCCAGGCACAGGGCAGGAAGGGGCATGTGTCATTATGGTGAACTGTGCATGCTTCGCCGCTGCGTTCATGGCGAGCGTTGACGCCGTGGTTGACTGCGGTTCACAGATTCCTGTGATTGTAATTAACATGGTGTGGCTTTCGAAGGTGTTCAGTGCACACGAAAGTGACATGCCGCGCATGGTGTTGTATGGTATATAGGTCTGTAGGTTGTGGGTTTACATAACGTCGTGCTGCCTGAGTGCTGGCAACAAATTTTGGGTATTTTAACATGTTCTATTCTAATGTGTATTTGACAATCGCGGCCCGTTGCGCACCTGCTCAAGGTTGACAGATCGTACCGTTGCAGCTGCGTCAGACACCGCATCCTGTTGAGTGGCACTCGCGGGACAAACCGGCTTAGGCATTGACTAAGTCATAATTCTGTAACACAAGCGTCATTGCTGCACACGATTGTCCTATACCACACTTACATATGGGATGTGCAGCCGTCGCCCTGTACACAAATAACAATATCCATATACCTGACTGATCGATGGCGATCAATTGTACAGACTACACATCAGATCCCTCGTAACAGCCTCCGCGGGCACGTCTCAATTGTTAGCGGCACGTTACAATGCCTTGCAATAACCAGATCAGCTGCTGATCAAATCTTCGTTAAGATGTGATGCGGAATATGCAACTCTCCAAGCGGAACATCCTGCCCCTGTCAAAACAGCCACTTCCTGCTTTCGGATAGACAGCCTTGGTAACCATCCTCAAGCCTCATCCTCATCCCCTGTGCCCCCCGACGCCGCCGCTGCTTCCAGCGCCCGCAGTCCCGACGAGCTGAGCTTACTCGAAAAGCCAGTCACCGGCACAGCAGTTGTTGTTCCTTCCCCTCCCCCGCCGTCCCGCCGCAACCCAATCACAGGCACTATGATGATGGTGAGCGGGTCAAAGCCCCGGGCTCGGCGGCCGGCATTGATGGCCTCTGCCCCGGGCAGTGTCTCTACAGACACCACTAGAGCCTCCATATGGGGATCCAATTCTGCCAGAGTCGGGGCCTGCGAGGGTGGGATGAGGAACGTGTGCGTGTGTGTGTATGCGTGCGTGTGCGTGTGTACGCAACACGGTTGGAGCAGCAGACCAAGGGACTGTAGCAACAGCATGCGCAGCAGCAGACAGGCTGGGCCAGGTCCACAGAAGGGGGCAGGGTGAAATCGGGTCTCGAACGCCCCCTAGGCTGGAAAAGGCCCTCATTACAGGGGATGACTGCGGATTATGGACGAGGGCGCCGGTGGGGGGGGAAGAAGAAATTCACTGGACGCATCAAGGTGCGAACGGGCGGTTTGTTAGTAACTAGACCGCTATGATTGAAACAGCTGCAAACAAGCAGTAGCACCGGCAGCTGTAGCAGCGGCAGCAGTAGCCGCAGCAACAACGGGACTGTCCGCTGTCCCCAACCCCGCGGTCCCTCTCCACCCTCCAAGTTGCCCTCCCAGCCAGCTGCTTTCCTCTCCGGACGCCTCTGCTCGCCGCCTCTATTGCATCCTTCGGGGCGACTCCTCTTTCCGCCCCTCATCTGCCCCATCCATCACATCCCTCGAGACAGAGTTGCCAGGCAGCAGTAGCAGCAGTAGCAGCAGTAGCAGCAGTAGCAGCAATAGCATCAGTAGCAACAGCTCCCATTTCCCTGCAAGTCCGGCGCACTACTGACACATACACAGCTCTCGCCGTTCGTCGTCCCCAATGTGTCGTACCTTAGGGTCGCATAGCGCCCCCACCTCCACCTAGGGGTTGACAATTAGGTTGAGATGGGAATTGCAATGAGACCCGATGGGTTGGCAAACTTCGATAGGTAAAGACGAAAACACAAACAGCCACAGCTAACCGGGGGTGCGTTCTCATGAGAACACCCTCACGGCGTGAAATGCGACGGACCTGTGCACGCGACGTCATATCAAACAAATAGAGTTTGGCGTCATAATAATGATGATGGCGATGATGATCATAATGATGATGATGATGGGGATAATGGTAATGATGATGATGATGATAATGATGATGCGCTTTCAGTGTCCTTTGCTTTACCAAAATCGCGCATGAGGGGCTATAGTCCACTAATACCCGCCGCAGTGTGCATGCAAAAGCTCACGACGCACAAACGGCAATAGTCACCAGCCCGATACATAGCAGCAATGCCGACGCCGACTTCCAACACACATACATAACAAAGATGCAGCATCGCAACCCGGAATGACAACGATACCGAAAAAAGACGAGCAACTTGGTTCGCAGCCGAGAATGCACCTACCTTGATCCCCGGATGTACAGCCTCGATGTACGACACTGTCTCCCTGACCCGTACATCATACGGCTGTAGCAGCTCCTTGTATGACTTGTTTGTCAGCAATGCATCCGCTGTGTCGTATCCCGTCGGCCAAGGTTGTGGCATGTCGTCGAGCCAGTGACATGCCGGTGGAAAAGCCGAGAAAATCACCAATCCTCCTAGCACACTGATTATTTGTGAGGCAATCGGAGAACTACAACTGCCCCATTGCCGCATCCGCACAGATGGATCCGCTTGTTTGTAAGGCCTTATGGGTTTTGACGCACATAAGGACATGGGGGCCCTGACAAGCAATGTGCCCGGGACCCAGTGGGCCGCAATTCCAACCCCACCCCGACTCAGCGCACCCTCCGCTCGCTCAACCTCTCACTCACCGGTTACCCCCACGAACACAAAGCCCCCTGCGACTAGCGCCGTCACAGCCAGCAGGAGCTCGTGGCCAGCATGCAGCCGGTCAAAAGTGCCCCCCACGGCCACACGCCGGAATCGCAGCGGTGTGTCCGGTAGGGCGGGAGCGCCGTCGACTAGCGTCACGTAGCGCTCCAGGGAAGGGGGGGAAGGGGTAGATGGCAGCGGAGACAGTGGCCCGCGCACCTTCGCAGCGGAGGAAGGACCGTCGCCGCGCGGTTGCTGCTGCTCCTGTTGTTGTTGCGGTCGGCACCCTGTTTGGGACTGCGGAAGCGGCTCATGTTCCCCCTGCTGCAGCACGTGATGAGGTTGCAGTTCCAATGGCCCGCATGCAGCGCCGCCTCGGCTGTCGCTGGGCGCATCTGACGGCGAGCCCTGCACCGCGCCGGCTCCGCTGCGCGGCCCCTCAACGCATCTGCCGCCACTGCCGCTGGCACTTGCACCGGCGGCTGAGGCGCCACCGCCGTATCCGCCTGCGGGAACCACCACCGTGCGAATCTCCCAAGGTGGCAAATAGGTCGGACGGAGCCCCTGCAGCTGGGACTCTATTCCTCCCTTGTCGGCGACGGTGTTCGGACCACTAGACAGTTCTTGCGCTTGGGCTGCGCCTGGGGCAGCAGTCGTCGCTGCCCTTGCACGTCCATCGCCACTCGTTGGCAACCCATCCACCATAGCCGAATTTGTGTGTTGAAATCGGCGGCTGGGTGTGGGTGCCGCCACCATCAGTAGCAGCATCCGCACGAGTGGCAGGGATGCAACGCGATCTGGACGGACACGTGGGCAAAGGCCCCAACGCAGGCGTGGTGGCGGCAGCGGCACCACCAAGGCAATAAAGGGCAGAGGCAGGGCAGGCGGGGGCATGGCACTACGTAAAAAACACGCAATCCAACATTTTTGCGATTTCGTTCAGGCCGTACGATACGTCATTACATGGCAGTGGGATGATGACCAGGCAGTGGTGTCATAGTAGCTACTGGCCGCTTTGGTGCCTGACGGTGCAAGTTGGCGAGTTGTGCATCTTCTTCTCCGACTTGCCGGCCCGTTCTGTACCGGTGCACCAACTTGGATTTCGGGATGCTGGCAGCGTTGAACAGTATATGCGGCCTCTAATATACTTTGTCCAGCAAATGCCCACACAACACCATCAACGCCGCCCCGCCCTTAACCCCGCCCCGCCCTGTTATGGCTCCTGTCACCCATTCCTTAACCCTGAAATGCCGTAAAACTTCCGCGCCCATCACTCCATGGTGGTGGTCCTTTTGTGTTGGCGTTAGCAGCGCACTTGGTCCAAGTTCCAGTTCAAGGGATCGATAGTTGCCACTTACAAGGCGGTATTGGATTCTGTCGTGCCTCAGTCTACGCCCTACTCCCCGCGTCCACGTGGCGACCCCGCCCCGGCGTTTCTCCTCGCCCAAGGCCCCCCAATGGCGGAATATAACAAGGTCATCGCTCACCTAATGTCCAGCCAGCTGCTGGGAAGAGGGGCACGCAGGGCATGCGGGGCCGGTCGCTGACAGCGACGGCATCCAGCAGGCAGGCTAATGCGTTGATTTCCCCAGCTGTAATAGGGGCTGCGCCTTCCCCCACGGAGGTTCTGTCCCCACCTGCGCGCTGGCAGGAGCGACGCACGTGGCGTGCCAGGTGTTTTAAAACATCACAGTAAATGTGGAGATACCCAGGATGGGCCGTCCTAGTCGTGGCGACATTGTGACCTAACCCTGGGGCCGACCTCCTTGCACATCATACTTATTGATGTAATGGCAAAAGACAAACTGACATAGACGTTGGTTACCATTTATGACAATTGCCATTCCAATAACGGATTCAGTAGCCCTAGAGGTGGAAAAGATGCCATACCTTTAAGGAAAAGGTAGCATGCTTCGACATTTGGAATTCGGTTCAGGGATTCAACCAGCAGTGCGGAGCTCGCAGTGTCAACGCTCTCCATCACCGCTAAAACCGCGTTGCATTCAGCCGCTGAGACGGTAGCCATCGTTGCCCAGCAATTTATTAGGTTGGTTGGATGCTCAATTTGCCGAATTTCCGCGGCTTGCGTCACAATGGCGAGAGTGACCGGCACTCGTCGATATCGTGGAGTTAGACGCCCTTGGACTCTAAAGCTACGTGTGTTTCTAACCGAGTAATGAAAACCACTCTTCATAGCTGGGAGTTAACTCGCTGTCAACTTCCAAGCGCTTTCTGCTGCGGAGGCGACGCCAAGCCAGTATTAATGCCGGTAACATGGATACATTGTTCATGCCAACAGTTATGCCAAACACTACATATACAGGCCATGGTCTGATCGGCAAATCAGGTCCCCAAACCCCGACCGTTGTGGTCCGAATCCGATCAACGAGAAAACAGTCCCAGCCACCCAAGTTAGTTAGTTGGGAACTGGGTCCGCTGGCTCCGCACACATGCTCCAATACAATTGTTAACTATGATCGTTCATCGCCTAGGAGAGGTCAGCAAACGGCAAATATCGGCCAACATCAGCTGCCGATCAAGCCCGAAGCCCGGCAGGCAATCACATTCCAAGCTTCAGAAAATCCGTCGGAGGAACCGTAGCCAACAAGGGACTCAGCCTAATTTCGGAAACAGATAACCCCCCACAGACCCAGCAGGTTTGCCGGCCATTTGATTCACCCAGGTAACACGTTATGCAAACATCCTTGGCCTCTGCAGCCAAGATGCCTAAGGAGAAACGGACGCAGCGATGCCACCAGATCTAAAATGCCTCGGGTGCTCATCGGGCGCCCCAAATGAGGCGTTGCCCGGTAGCTCACGGCGACATACAAACGACACCCAATCATTTCTGGGGCCTCCTAGGGCTACCTGGCTTCCAGCTGGCGTCCAGCGGGGTAGCAATTGAACCGCAAAACAATTGGGTGTTTTGCGCAATCGATAATTACCCAAACAGCAACAGTCGAAAACAGGCCATACATGTGCATGTGCCTGGCCTTCTATGCAATGGTTTTTATTAAGATAATCGACTCGAATCATCCAGGGGACAGAAAATCCCCACAAGCACACACAATGCTCCAGTCCCACAGGATGAATAGCGGTCGCGGTGTTGGCCGACCGCAGCCCTGACGCCCGATTTCTCGAAACCTGCGCGTGTCCCTAAAAACCCTCAAAAAATGCACCACCTCCACCTCCACCACATCCATGGTCAGCAAGCGGCGCCCCCTTTTTGAATAAACAGGCTGAACAAAAGGATCGACCCAAAGGTGCAAAGTCCAACCACAGCCCATCATATTTGCACTTCCCTATACACGCACACGCCAAACACAGGCATACAAAGACATGTATGAATCGCATGGCCGCGCCGTATGCTTTTTAAAGGGGGAGAGGGATCCTGCCGTCCAGAGCTAGCTCCGACGCACATACCTAACCTGCGCAGGCGAGCTGCACGGAGAGACACAACAACCCGCGACAAAGGCGGGACATAGCCAACGCCGCCGCCCAAGCGCACACATCGCCAACACACGACTGGAGTACTCAGGACGTCCCGACTCCGCGTGGTGATGTCCGGCGGTCTGCACATGCGGGGCATGTGCGGTAATGCGCCTGGGAGTATCGCAGCAGAGAATAGTAGATCAGTATCGCCCCACTAATATCAATCAGCCGCAGCTACTATACACTGCTGTAAAGGGCATGCAAAGACAAGTGGCAATGGGAGCGACCGTTTTTGATGAATATTCGCCGCACAGCGCCATGTTACGTGGAGGAGGAACGGGGTGTGGAGAGTGTATACGATACGTACTCAAAACACAGTACGTAAGCAGAAGTAGTCATAGCAATAACAATAACAGTCACAGCAGCAGCGGCGGCAGCAACAGCAGCGTTAATGTGATATTTGGGGGTTCCTCTGCGTTCCTTTACTCTTGCCAGCATCGCTGCGCATATGGACGAACGTTCGAAGGCCGCGGTCGACGACCTGGCACTTTGGTGCCAGGCGCGGAGGTTTAACGCATGTTTATGGATTGGAGGAACAGCACAGCGATAAATATACACACACGGACAAATACACGCAAACATGGGGCTACGTGGCCACTACAAAACACACCCATGGGCGGCTCAGTTCTGCAAACTGCACACCGCATGCACGCGTATTTGCAGACAGACAAGTACACCAAAAAGCAACGCTTTGTATCAACACGCAGGACGCATGCATATCGCGTAACCACCGTCCGCCTCTGCGTCCTTGCGACTTTCTCCCTCTTTGCCGACCCACCATACCCTTCATATTTTAACAACTACAACAACATCACCATCACCAAGAACACAAGCAACACCGATAGTGAGGGTTAAAGGACAGACCACCGGAGACTCTAATGTGTGTGCACACATGGTAGCTGTGCTGGCCGGCTGGTGGCCACACAAGAAAAAACCCTGTTGTACATGATCAGCTGCACAAACAGTGAGAGCATGCAATCAAACGATCAGGGCGCCAACCTTTGTATAATGTTATTTCATTGTATTCGTTGCGACCTTACCACGTAGCGGTTGCGAACCAAGTTCAGAGTGGAATTCGGCCCCACCTGAACCCCGCAAGCGCACAGGGCGAAAACTTCGTGCAGCGTCGCGCTTCGCAAGGGAAGAAACGTAGGACAGGCGCATGCATGAGCACGAGCAATAGGCACACATGCAAAAAACGCGCAAACCCCTGAACGCAAATTCAGAAACAGCGCTGCTGCATTGATGCCAACGTGCCCGCAAGCATCACAGTCATCGCACCGAGCGCCGAACCCCATCAGCACCCAGCGGTGCACTTAGCATTTGATCTTTATTATGGTAATAAATCACCAGATGAACCGTACGTGCGTTGCAACAAGGTGAAAGACAACTGGTATACCGGCACACGAAAAGCAGACGTGCTGCGACGAAACCCAAGCTCTATTGGATCCCAAGTACAAAAGATACACGTCCTTCCTATGGAAAAACGGATAAAAATCGGGGTGCGAATGAGCGCATTTCTGTATGCCAGTGCGTGAGTCATTAGTGAGAGAGGGCGTGTGCGCGCACTCGCGGGTGTGGTACGTCAATTTATCAGATGCAGGTTGTGCAAGGTTGCGCACACGTCGTCTGAACGAGAGGTGTGTCTGCATGTGAGAACGCACACACGGGCCCTTGCACACCAGATGGCCTCAAGAACAAGAATACGCCGGCAGAACGGAGATAACATATCCCTCCCAACCCCTCGCATGTCCAATCGCTCACACAATTCTACGGCGATCCCACCCCACCCCTCCCTCGGACATCCATCCGCCACCTTCGACTTCGACTCCTGCTCTTCGTCTCCTTCCGCTAGCACGCCAGGCAACCAGCCAAGGAAAGTCAAGTCAATGCCGTGCACGGCATACACTGTTTCCATAGCACTTTTGTACAGCAAAGCGTCGCGGGACTGGTGCATATTTTAGCACAACGTGAGGCTGAGCTAGGTTTAGCGGAAGCGGCGCAATTCGCAATTTGCGAAAATACGCCACCATGTAGCGTGGTGCATGGTGCCCCGCTGATGGCCACGAAACTCCACCGCTATGCTTCGTCACCATATTGTCACCAAATGCAGCACTGTCCAAAACTAAGCACACTCCTTGCGACGCCACGCCCCCCGAAGAGAATCGAAAATGGCTTCATTTGGGTGTATGTTTGCGCCGTCTGCTGCCCATTCGAATATGAAAAGTTATGTTATAGATGATGTTTATATGCACGGTGCGCAGGATGGCCCGGCGCGAAGCAGGGTGAGGACAGCACCTGGCAGCAACTCCCGGCGTTGTTGCCCTGTCTGTGCCGCGCTTATATCGCACACCACCCAACAGCCGTCCCCGCCTAAATCAACATCTCCCATGCCACGAATTCCCCCCAAGCATCAGCGTCGAGGATCGGATTTCAAAAAGCAGGTTTCAACACTCCCGCTCTATAATATATTCTCCATACGATGGCACCTATTTGCGAAATCGAGCCTCCCGGATTCCTGCCAGGGTCCCTGCAAGCGGCCACAATCCTATACATCATCACTCTATAAAGCCGTGCCAATCGAGAGCATCATCATCATCCACATAGCCTAAGGATCCCAGACAACAAACACCTGGCGTTGCTGTTGGTCCCCCTCCCATTCGTACATCCAACGCAACTCCGACCCATGGCAGTGGACCCAACCTCACGCCCTCGCGGCTCTCCCCCATAATCGACCCAATCAGGGCCAACGGCAGTGTCGCTCCCCATAGATATACCCACACGGAGGAACTTCACCTGATGTGACTTGAAAGGCCGGTAGTTGCCATGCTCCCCGCACTTCCACCATTCCTATGATTGATAGGAGTCTGGTTGAGTCGCTGTTGGGGGATATTATTGTGACATATGGTCCTCATGGACCTCCACCCGCACCCCTCCGCACCGACATATCTGGCGTTCTTCGCTTCCTCATCACGCAGCCTTTCTGCGACCCCACATTCCCGTCCGCCCTGAAGCCCTTCAGCTCCCTGCTGAGCCCTGTTGATATATACCACCAAGAGCCGGACGCTGTACGTGCAGCAGCCGTGAGGATGCGACACCACAGTGTGGGGCTGCGGCAGCAGCCGGGGCATTACGTGCGGAAATACAAATGTCTGACTGCCCATGTCCAAGCAGTTACATCCTAGGAGGAAGAGGAGCGTAGGTGTGTTCGTGTCCCGTTCCTTACCGCCGCAGCCGCCGCGCGAGGCGTTCCACTCTGCTGCGGCGGTGGGCCCGTGAGTACCCTCCATCACCCCTACCCTACCCTTCGACGGCTTCATTTGCCGCTGGTGTTTCCGTTGCCAACAGCCTGCTCCATCTTTTGCAGATCGGCCCAGTACTTGTAGTTGCGCATGGTATAGGTGAGCAGCGGCTTCGTGTTGGAGAAAACTCGGGAGAAGCAGTTGAGCAGCGGGATGACCACGATGTCGAAGAAGCCAACCTACGGATCGCGCAAGGAGTTGGGCCATGAGGGCAACACGGAACAATGAGCAGCAACAATTCAAAAATAGATATGTGTGCATGCCGTAAAACGTGGTCGCGAGGCAAAGGATAATGAGCCAGGTGTGAGCCCACGAAAGGTGGGCGGTGTCTACGCGGCCAGCTTAAGGGTCCGGGGTGGGGCTAGAAGTGCAAGCACCGACTTGAGTCGGGCGAGGGGCCATGATGCGCGAGGCCTACACGGCAGCCACACACTATACCCACACACAAATCCTTAAGGCCCCACCACCACGCCTCCACAGGCCCGCGCACCTGACTCTTGGTGATGCCCGGTTTGCAGCGGTCGAAGAGCGGGCTGACTGGCAGGCTGTGCAGCTTCTCCATGTCACCCTGCCGGAAGAACTCCTCCTCCAGCAGCTGCACCCACCGACAGTGTACCGGTAGCGACGCCGACACCTACGGAAACATGTATCAAGGAGCGAGTGACCGTGGTGTGCGTGCGTGGGAAAGGGAAGGCGGGAATGCATACGTCTATTGAGGACCCGCATGAAGCGTGACAAAGTTACTGAAACTAAAAGCCACATGCAGTAATAAAGGGTGGTATATATTCCTGTGTGCTACTGTAAAGGTCAACATTGCCAGCGGGTAAAAAAGTGGAACCTATATTGGGGCCAGCAAGGAGATGTCGCAAAGACAGGAGCAAGGGAGCAATACACGGCGGCTTGCCGTGCACTGCAGCATGACGTGACCCGATGAACGCAACGGTGTCAGTGTCTAGAAAGCGACCTTGGCATGGCAGCACTGGCAGCGGAAGGAGGGGCCAACCCCCCTTCGATCCCACCTTTACTTTACTTTGAGCCCCTCACAAAGCCTTCCCTTTTTTCCTTCCCTCTACATTCTACTTCATCTCAACGCCACTGAGGCCTCTCCACCTCAACAACAGCCACCTCTTTCCTCATCACGCCAGCAGACACCAGGCCACAGAATAAATCTCACATGTCCTAGGTCGGAACACTTGAGCGCCATCTGCAGTGACAGGATGCGCTCATTCTCGTCCAGCGGGATAACAATCTTGTCCATTTCCACAGGGCAGCCACTGCCGCCGTGGAGCATCGAATTGACGGAGGAGGCGTTGGAAGAAGACCTGCCAGGGGGATGTAATCGATATGACGGCCTGGTGGTGATCAAGGGTGGCACAGAGTAAGAGACGGTGCGGCTGCTGAATGTGGTGTGGGCACGAGGGCGGAGTGTCATTCACACCCCTGCGTGCTGCTTCACTCGCTAAGCCGCAAGCAAATAGGTAGGTAATACACACCGGCTCACATATACCACATCGCACACCACGCATTTCCCCCTGTGCGCTCCAGGTCTTCCATTTCAAACCCCACCCCACCCCTCCACACACATATGCACACAGTCCATTCCATCCGCTGCAGCCACCATTACCCCCGCCAGGGGGACCTGAGCGGCCAGGGGGACCCCTTCCCAGCAAGGGACAGCCTAACCAGCGCCGTGCCAACCCCCAGCCCAAGTGCCTAGCGCAGGCCAGAGCCCTGGCCCCGTGCCCCCCAGGCCGCCGGGCCGGCCGCCCTTCACAGCAGGACAGTAGGAGTGGGTGGGTACCTGCGGCGATCCGTGCCGCTGACGTGGGACGGCGTCACCGAGTTGGCTGCCCCCAATCGGTGCACCGTGGTGAAGTGGGACAGGATGGCGAAGTGTTGCTTCATGTCGGTGGCTAAAACCAGCTCAATCACCTAAACGGACAGGGTTGGGCGACGGGGGAACGATGAGGGGACGGGGGGAACATGAGGTAGGTTCAGAGCCGGGGGGGACTCCAACACGGCGCAGGGTGCCACCAAGGAGCGTAATTCAACGGAGACTGAATCTGGCACAAGAAGCCCGACCCTATAGTTTTACCTGCGAAACTTCCGACATATATCCCGACTAAACCTAACCTTTAGCTATGTGCCCCCTCCTTCCTGAGGTAGAGGCGCGATGAATAGATCCGCATGACAGAAAACGCTACACATAAGCGGCCTCCGTGGCTGTGACAACACGTCAACACATGCTCTTACCATCTTCCTCAGCCGGTCCGTGTCCGCCTTAGGCAGGTGGCTCATGAAGGCGTACTCCGGCTTCTTGAGCAGCGTGAAGGCCGCTGCCAGGTGGTGGTTCTCTAGCGGAGCCCGGTCGTTGTAGCGCAAAGCCAACAGGTCACTGAAGGAGGAAAAGGGAGGAATACATGAATATGAAAGGAGGCTGCGCGGTGTTTATTGTATACTGTTCCACGAGTGGGACAATATACAATACAACAAAATGAAGGTGCCGATGGGATTACGCCGTCCAGGCAGTAATAAGGATATAGCCATGGAGGAAGTGGCCAGAAGCGCTCCATGGAAAAGAGTAAGGAAAGCGTTTTGACAGATGCCCTGCGACAGAAGTGCCAACTCAATGCCAACGGCAAAGTAGCAAAATCCCTGGCGCGTTGCGTCTCACAAGCCTAGCCGCCCTAGTCGCCCACCTGCACACTCGGATCAGAGCCAACTGGTCACTCTCAGCCACGCAGACACGCGCACCAGAGAGGTCAGCCAGCCAGACCAGCTATAGCCATAGGCTCCATCCTGTCTGTCAGCTGGCACAATAGAAGGCAGCCCCTAACCTCGCATCCTTCTCTATTTGGTACCGTCTCTCCCTCTGCACGCCCCACAAGAAGAGGCTGAGGCCGGACAATGCGCAGAGCCCCACCAAGGCAGATACCCGGAGCAAGTACTAAATACTTCAAGCAACCCCAAAGCACCTGCTGTTGATGAGGTAGTCGTTGGTGACGCCTCCGTGCTCGTAGTCATGCACCACTGCCGCCAGGTAGCAGGCCATGAGCGTCAGCGGGTCCACGTAGCCCGGAGACAGGCCGCCACGGTGGATGATCACGTGCAGCGACTGTAGGGGGGACCCAGGGGAAGTGCGGATGATAGCGTGGTGGCGAGGTAACAGCAGGAATGAATGGCACCAACACGTGGAAAAGGAAATTGAGATGAAAAAGCTCAGACTGCGGACGGCCGCCGTAGAGCTCACATCGTATTCGCATGGCTTGCATGTGTCAAATTTCATTATCATTCTGACTAGTGAACACTAGGCAAAATAGCCAATCCTGACCCCGTACCTGCAGCACATCGGCTGCGTGGATCTTGGAGTGGTAGGGGTTGGGCCGGTAGCCGTCCTCCACACGCCTTATGAACCTGGGAAGAGGGGAGAAGGGACAGGATGACGAAGGGGTGGTGAGTGCGGTCAGGTGTAGTGTGATGCGTGGAGGCTGCACCCAATTACTAGGGAGTGGGAATTTACGTCAAGTGTCATAGTGCAATACGCCCCTTGCGCGTGCAAGTACCTCACCTTGCAGGAGGGGTACCACATACCCCACATACCCCTTACAACTTGGCAAATCGACCAGGAGGCTATTTTCCTTGGCTCTTTTTGCTTTATACCAACTCCCCCCATACAATGCAGGACATAAATGGAGATAGAGGAAAAAACAAAGGGGCAAATACCAGGCAGATCGGAATAAGGATTAGGCAGGCAGGCAGCATAGCAAGCATCAACCCATCGAGGGAGCTCTGCAGAGCCATACGGATCATGTACCTTGCCAGCAAGTGCGGCTTGATGTCAAACTTGCGTATGAGGTCGGCCTGGTGGAACAGGAAGAAGGCCAGCGTGCTGAGCGCGTGGTCCTGAGTGGCGTCTGCCAGCTTGAACACATCGAACTGCCAGTTGTTGGCTGAAGACAACAGCCGCTCCACCTGCAGCGGAACACGGGAATTAAAAAATGGACATTGGGACATGGGCCGTAGGAGGGGCAAGCATATGAAAAAGACAGCTAAGATTGCATACGGGCGTTAAAGGAAGGATGAGGGCAGGATAAGGTCCCAAGGTGAGTGTGGGGGGGGCCCCAAAGCAGGGCAGGGCAGGGCAAGGCAGGCATGGAAAGGAAAGGACGCAAGAGGCGCACACGGAGAAAGCACTGTCCACACCCAATGCGCGACCTCGCGATTTCGCCTGCATCTTTCGCGCGGAACCAGCAGCATACGGTAGCCACACACACATCGTGGTTGTTCTCCTCTTCGCAGTCCAGCCTTCGCGAAACTTGGTTGCGAAGAGAGCGGCCCTGGGACATGCTCTTAACGCATTTTGTCGCTGTATAGATAACACGCGCTGAGCTCTTGGAGCTCGCACCACGAGCGCCGGCTTCCACCACGTACACAACACACGTAGGGGCTACGTAATAGACCACCACGAAAACGTCACGCTTATTCCCCCCATCTTTAATACCCAGTGGTATTGGCCTGCATCAACACGCAAGGCTCAATGTCATGTACCAGACGCATTCCTCTTGCCTCGGAGAACAACGGCGTCTCCGGGAAGTCGTCCACCTCGCCCTCCAGCACCAGGGACCCCGATGTATTTGCTCGGTCCAGGGACAGCACCAGCTGCGAAGAAGAAGCTCCGCGAGGCTCGAGCGCGGCACCGCGACCGCGCATACGGGCATGCAGACCTCGGCTGAAGGACGATACCGCGCACCCGGCCGCGTTGTCGCCCGTCCCGCCTCCGCCGCCGGCGCCGTTCTCACGGCCGCCGCCATCGGCGTCTGGGAAGGCTGCATCTCGCGCCATGAGAGAAGTGATGGCATCTTCCAGGGTCGACCAGGGTCCGTCGGTGTTGGAGTCCGTGAGGCTGCAGCCGGGGGAGCTACTGGGACTAGTGGGCCGAGGGTTTGAAAAATGAGGCGAGGACAAGAAGGGCACTAGGTAAGGGTAACAGAGGGATTGCAACCACACTTTAAAAAGAGAAAGATAAAATGAACACATGGTTATTGTGGCTGTGGCGCTGTGTATGCCAAGACATGTTCGCCAAAACACGTGATGGTGATGGGTGCAAGGACGTGCCGAGGCATACCGAGAAGCTTCGGCTGTGGGAGCTTCCATAGCAGTGCGCTGCGGGCTTAAAAGGCATTGTGACCACTTACCTAACCCCCGCCTGGCCGCATCCCCGTCCCTCATTCCCTAAACTCCCCGAGGCATTGTCTGTCTCCGGTGTGCCGGAAGAGCTTCAGACACCTTCCCGCGCTTGCTGTCAAGCATGGTCTCAGACGACGCACCTGCCCTGGCCACAGGGCCCCCGCAGGCCACAGTTGCTGTCCCGTGTGCCAAAGTCTCGCAGCGTCAGCTCCGCGCCATTCGTCAATGCACGCGCCTCGTCACCATTGCCCAACTGCTGCAGCAGCGCCATGCCCACGTCGTTCTGTTCACCGGAGCGGGACGGACATGGGAAAATGTTAAACGGGGAGGATGTGCGGTGATGATGGGATCGTGGAGTCGCACGTGACAAGGGAGCACGTGCCAGCCAACCCAGCAGGCCAGCAAGCAAACAGGCATCCTTACTGCCAGCCAAGCAGCCACCCAACCCGCAAGACATCAATCACCTACAGGAAAACCTATGCCATCCACATAACCATGGAGGACGCGCGCGTCGAGGAAATATGCTGCTGGACAGCTAAAAAATCCAATCGCGGTACGACTCTTAAGAAAGACTCCAAAATTGCAGCCCACAATGCTTCCTCACTACCATTTGCCTTCTTCCCATGTTCGTGGAGCCCCCCCCCTGGCCAAACATTACTCATGCCCCTTCTTTCCCCCCCCCATCCCCCAGCCACTCACATCCAGCGCGCTGGACTGCAACAACTGCTTGCCCAGGTTGATGGGCTGGTAGATGTCGTGAGCCTCCAAGATGGCGGACTGAACCAGCAAAATATCCTGTGGGGAAGCGGGTCATTTGGGGCGGACTTGCTGTAGTGTTAGGATCTGGTGCGATAATGGAAGTTGGTTTGGTTTGTAAAAGGAGGCAAAAAGCCAAGGAGAGATTGAGCGAGAGCAAGAGCGTGCGTAACGCCCACATTTCAGTTGCTCATGTTCCAACACATGCTCCAACACTTCCTCCTCATGGCACAGTTCAGTAAAACGCAATTCATTGCGATAAACCAGACCCAGGTTTACACTCCTTAAGGCAACAGCGGCACTCCTGCGGACAGCGGCCGGGCGTCCGCACCTGGATGGATGGTGGCGAGCCGTCCAGCAGGTCGGTCATCATGGACAGAATCTTGTCTGCAGGGGTACCCGCGTCAATGATTGCCTTGCATAAAGGAGGGTTACAGGGGCAGGGATGTGAGACGAACAGGAGGACCTCGAGGGAACCAGAGCGGTGTGGCGCATCATGCTTCATGCAAGGAGAACCCCGGCACCGATCCCACCCAAGATTGTGAGAGGCGCAAAGGAAAGAGGGAGAGAAGGGGACAACAAGAGCAATGCTAGGGAATGTGCGACGAGCAGGGGCGGGCTCGGGTTCGGGTTCAGCACACAGCGTGTGAAGCCGACCATAGCGCGCGCTCGTGCGATGTATGGATGAAATGAAAACATGTTTTAAGCGAAATGAGGGGACGCTCTTTGGGCTTGGTCACATCCACGGGCATGAGAGCTTCCTAATAACTGAACGGTACTGGCATGGAGGTCCGATCTGAGCTCCGCAAACTCTGCAGCCGGCCGACTTGACGTGTTACAGCAAAGCCGCCACCACCAAAACCCCCGACCGATTCAAACTCCCTTCCTGCACAGCCTACGCTACCTTCATCCCACTCCCCAATGGCCGCCCCCAATATGCACGTAGGCGGGTGCGTGATGGCCAAATCAAATCCCGTTGGCGACGTTAACCCGGCCGTACCTTTGGCGTGTAGTTGCTCAACGCCATTTGCAGCTCAGCCTGAGGGAGGGTTGAGGTGGGAAAGGGCAACCGCAGTCAGCACAATCGCTGCTTTCATAAAAAAGGCAGGGCGGTGAAAAATACCCCCAAACGCCATGTGTCACCCTAGCCCAGGCAGCCGCGGGAAATCCTAACAGCTCCCCAACCCTGCCCTATCCTTCCCCATGCCGTAGTCGGGTCCATGTTTGGGTCTCCTGCGGGCCGAGCAGCCCAACACACCCAGCTGGAAGCATCACTTCGGAATCGAAGCTACATTGATTATAAAAGCACCCCAAGCACAGACCTTCTCCCCAGTGCGTCGCATTGACCACCCGGTCTATTGGAAGGAGAAACTGTGCAATAGTACGAAGAAGTATGCAGTAGGGAGTCAGTGATTTGCTCCCGGTCCCTCACCTGCAGCACCTCCTGCTGCTTGAGAAGTCGTTCGTTTTGCGCCTGGAGGTCGTCCAGCGTCTGGCGCTCGGCCGCCAGCTGGGCCGCCACAGTGTTCGCCGTCTCCTGTGGCAACAGCCGCTTAGGACGGGTAACTAAACCTTGGAGAGGAAATGGACTATATTCCAGGTTTGACCGCGAGTCGCTGACGGCCTCCATGCTGCAGCGCGGAGTTGCAGCATAAACCGCTTGGCTTCTGTGGTCGCTGCTACTGGGTTAGTGCTGTGCCATGCTACTACTGCTGGGTGCAGCGCTTTCCGCACAGGTGAAACAGTTCGAATGGTCCTCAGTACGAATCAGCGGGCATGGGTTGGCTCACTACTGAAATTATAGCCGGCCGCCATTTCCCGTTCCCGGCCCACATGCTTCACAAGACCTCAAGGCCCGATGGCATTTGCTTCGAAAAAGTTAAGTCCTCTGCAGCCCATGGGACCTCGGTGCCCCGACTGGCTGTTCTGTGATTCGCCTAGCCGCAAAGGTAATCCTAGCTGAGTCAACCGAGGGCAGTCTAGGCGATCCGCACCTTGAGCGCGTCCGCGAGTTCCCTGTGCGCTTTGGCCTCAGCAGCGGTCTGTTCCAGCATCGCGTCATAGGCAGCCTTCTGTTCTGCCTTGTCCCGCAGCACCTGCTCAAACTGGGCCCGGGACGTCTCCACCTCGTGCTGCGTAAAGGACAACAGCGTGGCAGGGCCCCAGCAGACGCAATGCCGAAAGCTAAGGAATGCAAAAAATGGCCGGGTAGAAGCAAGAGGGAACAACGCTCTTCCATTTTAAAGCGTACGGCACACACGGACCCATGACCCGCACCTACGCCCCGCACGGGTATGTATAGCGCCGTGTCAAGCCAATTCATTATTTAATGGACGTACATAAGTATGCTAGACTGGTGGCATTATCTAATGCGGCTCTGCCCTGCCGGGGGATGCAGAACTGTTGAAATCACTTGGAAGACAGCAGCCCTGACAGCACCCTTTTCTCCAGGCTCAGATGCCGCGTATGGTGCCATGGACCGCGCCGTTCCAATCAATCCTTCCCTTCCCACGCGGAAAAGGCCCTCAGCAATATGGCAACGAGCCCAGCCCAGCCCCTGAATGCATTCCCCTCCTGAACCATTCAAGTTTCGTTGGGTTTCAGTGGTTCTTCCTAATACTCCCAACCGCAATCCCCCGCAGTCCATCAACCCAGTTCCGATGCGGCCCACGGACCCAACATATCAGTAATCCGTGTCTTGCGGTGACTTTTGGATCATTCGGACTCATTTCCCCATTTCCTGACCCTCCCAGATCCCACCTGCAGCTCCCCAAAATCCACCAGGGCCTTATCCGCGAGGGCCTTGTGCTGCATCGCCTCAGCCGCGGTCTTCTCAAGCATCAGATGAAAGGTTGCCTTTTCCTCCGCCTTGTCCAACACGAGCTTGTCAAACTGGGCTTTGTTCTGGTCAGCGCTGGCCTGCACAAATGTATGCAAGGGCCAAACGGGTTGGGGCACACATATAGCACATTAATCTTGCAGTGCCATAGAAGGCTTGTACCATACACCGTGCGTCCGTACCTACCTTTGACTTGCCGCGGGTCACCGCCATGCCTCGCCTCGCCTCGCCT